CCGTGAAAAATATTCCTTTACACATTTTTTTACTTGAGAAATAATATGTCAGGATTACTTGGACGAATGTTTTAATTTTATGTTTTGTTGATGTTGGGGGGAAGATGGCAGAATGCAAAAACGCAATTTTTGTATTCTTGGTGGCCCACCTGCCATTTTTTTTTGTTTTTTCTGTCGCCTTTTTTGCCACGTTTATATTGCTCTTTATCAGTTTTTTGCCTTCTTTTGTCCTCAGTTGTCGCGTTTATTGATTGTTTCTAGAGCCACTCCTTCATCGTTTTTTTTGTTTCCGTTTTTCTGAATTTTTCCCATTTTGTTTACCTTTTTTTATTATTTTTAACTTTATTATTGTTTTTCTTACCCCTGCTAAATGAAATCAATGAAATGTAGAATGGGTGGGTGGGCGGGGCTAAATATTTTCTGAAATATAGGGCAAAATGTGGAAATCATCTCAATTGTGATGATTTTTTTATTCATCGTGAGCCAAGAGGGTGGAGCTTAAAATCCTTTCTCTGCAAGAAATTATCATGTAAAACAATAGTTTTAAGTATCGTGTTGCTCAAAAGATACTATGTATATTAAATAAAAAACAAAGTCAAGAATTAAGCCCCACCCTTCAATGTCGATTAACCGTGATGAAGTTTTCATTCGTTGTCAGACCGAGGGGCGGAGCCTAATTGCAAAATCCATATTTCCTATTTTAAGCATGTTTTAAGTTTCTTATTGTGAAAAGAAGACTACGTATATTAAGAAAACACGCCAAACATAAGCCCCGCCCACCCACCCTATTCCAATTGTAATGATTTTTTTTTATTCATCATTCTTTTTTTTTATTTCACAAAACTATTAAAAAATTGAGCTTTTGGCGAAGTTGCCCAAAAATAAAAACATAGCCTTTGATGGTTCTGGATCAAACTTTAGAAAAGCTCAGTTTCAAAATATTTTTTTTTAATTTTCACAAAAATGGCCATATGTCAATTTGCTGATTCTGGGAAAGTGGAATTTACGAAAAAATATTGCTGAAATGAACTGTTGGAAGTCAAAACCAAGAAAATATATCGGGGTAATTTTCGAAATTGTTCAGAAAGTGATACAAAATTTCATAAAACTATTGAAAAATTGAACTTTCGGCAGTTTCTTAAAATTCCATAAAAAATTTTGGGATATAGATGACAAGCTGATTGGAAAACAAGTTTTGATCGAGATTTTTGAAATTGTTAGTTTCAAAATCAGATTTTTTAATTATTCCATAAATGACCAAGTTTCATTTTGAGGATTCTGAAAAAGTTGTTCGAATTTTCGAAAAAATGTTACCCAAAAATTCTTTCTGGAAGTCAAATCCGACGAAAAATTTCTTTGGGTAAGTTTCTAAAGTGTTCCGAAAAAATCAAAAATTGCGTAAAAATATTGAAAAAATTGGCTTCTGCCAAAGTTACATAAAAATTCAACAAAAAATACTAGAGTTACATTGATGCGTCCAGACCAAGATTGTCGAAATTTTCAATTTAAAAATAAGAATTTTATAGTAAGTATTCCAACAACGGTCATGTTTCAAATTGTTGATTTCGGAAAAGTCCTGGAATTTTCAAAGAAATGTTCTCGAAAATGACGACTGTAAGTCAGAAACAACAAAAAATTACTTCGGATAATTTTCTAAAGTGCTCCGAAAAAAAATCAGCGTTTTTTGATCTTTTCTGGCGCGATTTGTTCATCTTTTTTGTTCCCTTTTTTCTGTATTTTTCCCATTTTGTTTACCCTTTTTTATTTATTTTTTAACTTTTTTGTTTTTCTTACCCTTGCTGAATGAATTCAAAGAAATGTAGAATGGGTGGGTAGGCGGGGCTAAATATTTCTTTTTTTTGGCTTTTTTTTCGACATTTTTTCGAAGACTTTCGACTGCATGAAAAATATTTCTTTACACATTTTTTTCCTTGCGAAGTAATATGTCAGGATTACTTGGACGAATGTTTTGATTTTATGTTTTGTTGATGTAGGGGGGAGGTTCGCAGAATACAAAAACGCAATTTTTGTATTCTTGGTGGCCCACCTGCCTTTTTTTTGTTTTTTTTTGTCGCCTTTTTTGCCACCTTTATATTGCTCGTTATCAGTTTTTTGCCTTCTTTTGTCCTCAGTTGTCGCGTTTTTTTTTTGTTTCCTTTTTTTCTGAATTTTCCCATTTTGTTTACCCTTTTTTATTTTTTTTAAACGGTTTTATTGTTTTTCTTACCCCTGCTAAATGAAATCAATGAAATTTAGAATGGGTGGGTGGGCGGGGCTAAATATTTCTCTGAAATATAATGCCAAATGTGGCTATCATGTGTCTCACCCTTGTTTTTATCGCCTTCTTTTGTCCCGTGTTGTCACGTTTTTTGATTTTTTCTGGCGCAATTTCTTCACCTTTTTTTTGTTTCCTTTTTTTGAAGATTTTCCATTTTGTTTACTTTTTTTATTATTATTTTAACTTGTTTATTGTTTTTCCCAGCCTTGCTAAATTAAATCAATAAAACGTAGAATGGGTGGGTGGGCGGGGCTAAATATTTTCTGTAATATAGGGCAAAATGTGGACTTCACGTTTATCACCCTTGTTTTTATCGGATTTTTGACCCTTTTTTCGATGTTTTTGTTGTTGCCTTCTTTTGTCTTCTTATTTACCTTTTTTTTTTCTGTGCCGTTTTTGTGTCGTCTTTAGTTTTTGCTGCCTTTTTTTGTCATTTTGTGTCGCCTTTTTTTCGTCTTTTTCTCTATAAAACGGAAAGAATCTAAGATCTGTCCTGTCTTGAAGAGAGGTGATGCATTTAAATCTGAATCTAAAAATTAATTTATAAAATTTTTGAATTATTCTATATTCTATCTACCTAGATTTTGCCTTTTTGTTTTAATGTGTAGGCTTGTTTTCACAACATGAAATTTAAAACATGTTTAAAATGGAAAATTAGGAAAAAACGAAATATCGATTTTACAATTTGGCTCCGCTCCATACTCAAAAATGTAACATTTTAACCATGGTTTAAGTTTCTGAAAAGATGGTTATGTATATTAAGAAAAAAAGACATAATATAAGCCCCGCCCACCCGCCCTATCTCGATTCTGATTTATTTGTCGTAAGCCGAGGGGCGGAGCTTATTGTAAAATCTTTATTTTTCTATGAGAAATTACTATGTGAAATATGTTCTGAAGTAATCGTGTTATACAAAGAAATGAAGAGGGGGTGGGTGGGCGGGCCTATTGCTTGTTTATGAAAGACTCTATTGGAAAAGGTTAAACTTAGCCCCGCCCACCCACCCGTTCTTTAATTTTTTTTCTCTGAAATAAGAAATAAATCTTATAACAAATAGTACAACAAAAAGGTTACGATTGGCGTTTTTTATAGCCTAGTTTCTATCAGTTACTGACCACTCCCACTTTGCAGAAGAACATATAATAAACCCCGCCCACCCATCCGCCCCCATTTCGGTGATTAATTTTATATAAAAACTTAGAACATGTATAAAATAGTAAATTTTGTAGAAAAATATGGATTTTGCAATTAAACTCCGCCCATGGATGTGACAACGAATAAAAAATTCATCAAAATCGAGATAGGGGTGGGTGGGTGGGGCTTAATTTTGGCCTCTTTTTCTTAATATATACCTATTTATAACAACACCAAATACCATTTGTTACTTTAAGTATTTTATTATTGAAATCGAAAAATAAACTTATTCTGTAAAATCCTTTCTTATGTATCTTTAAAATTATACTTTAAGGTACAATTTGATCAAGAAGATTTCGTCTACGAGTTAAAGTTAAAAGAGACCGCTGTACCGAAATATTTTAAATTTCAAGATTTCAAATATAAAGCTCCTTTTAAAATTATCAGTCCAGAAAACACAATTACTGAAAAAATATCAAGATTCAAAATTCGGTATCCACTGATAAACAATTTACAAATCGAGTGTTTAGGAAAGTCCTACCAAAATTTATTGCTACTGAAAGAAGACGAAATTTATTGTTTAAAAGAAAAAATTAACAGTTTAAATTTAAAGAATTTAAGAATTAATAACAAAGTGTTAAAAATGTTGGTTGGTTTAGATTATTTACGTTTATGTTTTATATTTTCCTTATTACATATTCTATTTTTTGTATTTTTATTTGATATGCCATTAACCTACGTTTTATAGATTTGTAATATGTATAAACGAAGAAAAAACCCTTGAAATATAAGGTGTAGATCGACTAAGTTATAGAAGGAAAATAACAATTTATCTGATTAACAGTATTAAGAGTAGTCACCAGAATGAAGAGGGGGTGGGTGGGCGGGCGTACTACTTTTCTGTAAAAGACTCTCTAGGAAAAAAGCTAAGTTACAAGACAGTGAAAATCTTAGGCTTTGTCATAACTATGTAGGCAACCACTTATACACACCTGAATTCGGACCATATAAAAACAACTTTCGACCTAAAATTCTAGTGGAAATAAATCAGTAAAATGTGAAAATTGATGAGTTTAAATTGGATATAGTGTCTACATGATACTGTTACACTTTTCAGAGACTCTATTTGTAAAAACACACATTACACAATCGTAATTTATACTTTATTTGCGGTTTATAAATTCATATTTGACCATATGGAGTAAGTCGGTCACTGGGTTTATTACCGAGATGTTAAAACATGTTCTACACTTTAAAACTTCCTTAATTGTACTAGTCCGTGAAATGTCACCTTATAAAAATAAACACTATAATGATTTTTGAGAAATTTCGTGGTTGTGCGATAACAAATTTCAGAAAAAATCCAATAAATCCTATCTTTCAATATAAATTATACTAATCTCAAGTTTACATGTATAATTGTCCTTGTACGATTCCAAACCAACTTTATATCTACTTAGAGATAACAAAATCCTTAATCCTCTTTATTTTTGTTGCGACGTTATCACTTATCTCTGCATTAAATTTCGAATTAACAGAGTGCACGTTACGACATATTTATACAAATAAATCAGATTCCATAGGCCAATTCAGTAATAATAAAACTAGAAAAAAAAAAACTTTATTGTCACCAATACAGTTTAATCGAAAAAGCTATAAAAAAATAGACTGATATACAGAATTATTAACACTTCGTATAATTGCAAAATATGACCAAAACGGAAAAATTATTTCTTGTAGACGTAGCTCTCGGCGCCTCCGCGTCCGAAGCCCGTAGGGCCAAACATGGCGGCGTAACAGGGCTGGTTGCAGTAGGGCTTCCCTTCGTGCTCGGCGTGGGAGCCCGGAGTAAGGGTCTTGTTACACTTTTCGCACCGGAGGCAAGCTGCGTGCCAGTCCTTTCCCAGGGAGGTCTTGCGTTCGGCTGAAACACCAAAATTTAAGAAAAAAAGTCGTGACGAAAAACGATCGATGAGCTGATTATCACGTTAGTAACGAACTTTGCATTACAATGTGCAAAATTTATGGCGTCGTTCCATTAGCTAATTACGGGTTGATTACGGAACAAGCCTCATTCACACCCTTCGTGCTGATACTCCACGTGGAATTTATATCATTTTTCAAAACTTATCAGCGAAGTTGTTATCAGAGAAATGTAAGCGTGAAAAATTTCACTGGCAAATTTTGGCGTGTGTTTAGGGAAATGCTATACATATTTCGGTGCGATAAACATTTCCGCTGGATAAGTACTAGTTACTCAGACTTTCCATCGAGGTCAGTGGAGAGCTAACGATTAGAGTGAGCATTTTTTAGAGAATAGTGTTCGAGTAATTATTATGCACGATCTATCAATAAGTCATGTCGTGGTAAAAGGAAGTCGATAAATGTTGTGTTCTATGTATACAAATTATACGTCGAGTTTTTTAAATGCCAGGAAAAGTAAAGTCTTACTCATTCTGTGATCGGTAACCACGAAAGCGCTCAAAGAACATCATAGGGAGAATATAATTCGTGTGTCACACGTTTTACAATGGGCTTATTGGGTGGTATCATATCACAAAGATTTTTTTTTGGTTGACAGTTCTCCATGACTACCCACAGGATTGATTACTTCAGCTCCTGTAATAAAAAACGAGATAATTCTGCTTTCTGGGTGACGCCAAAAATGAATATTAGCACCTCGGGAGTTAATAAAATATACGCAGTAATTAGAACAAATTAGAAATAATAAGTTAGAGAATTTGTTTAAAGCTAATTTTTTAATTGACAACTTTTATCGCAAAATGTGTAAATAGTTGCTATGGTGACAAGAGCTCCACTTATATATTTTAAAAAATGTATAGATAAATAGATACGCTTATGATTATATTACGTAAGTTTATTGAACAGAAACCTAGATATAAGTGTTCTATGAAATATTAGTCGACAGGAAAATAACAATTTTTTAAACAAATAATTTGTTCTAAAGGTTGTTGAAAAATGTTTAAAGATTATCGGATTAGTTTGTTATCCTTCGGATTAAGTATTACCTTGTACATCATTAAAATTATATTAATCTCAATCAAAAGGTGATTTCAATCGATTTAATAAAAGTGATTTTTCCATTGAAAACCAATTCCAGGTAAATTGGAATAACGTGGCAACGTCGCATCACACTTTCAGAAGTAGACTGTCGCCTAAGAAGGGGCAATCAGAATATGTAAACATATATATGCTGTTAAAAACAAAACATTCTGTATAGTTTAATGATAATATACATTTTAATGATAATCTAAAATTATAGTATTTCCAAATATCGATATTTCAGTTTTTCCAATGAAACACCCTGTATTTTATTACTGCATGACGCTCTATTTTTGTTCTCAACTATCAAAATATCGATATTTGAAAATTGTAATATAATTATTACAATTTATTAATTTTTTAATAAATATTGTTTATAAACACTCTGTATATGGAAACTTAACCTCATTTATACTACAACACAAAGTGACTACCTTTATTAATTTATTTCTCCACAAAATCTTGTAACACAGATTTTCAAAATAACCCTAATGTGATTTTTTTTGTGAACCCGTCCATTGCTGAAAAATTTCAAAAAAATTGGAATGATCTGGCAACGTTGCATCATAATTTCAAAAATAAACCGTGGTTGTCTAGTCTACAAGAGGGCAATTATAACATATAAAAATATATAGAATGTTTCATTTAAAAAAATTAAGTGTTGTATCGCGCCTTAAAAACAGAACACTTTGTATAGTTATAAATAATTCTAGAGTGTAGTTCTCAAAGAATCGTACAACTTGACTTTTTTTCTGATGTATCTTAAAACTGTGACATAAATGTGGATTTTTAAAAATCCCACAAAATATAAATATTTTTTTCATTCTCCAAAAAATTCCTCCAAGCTTTTCATTCCTCAAAATTCCTTCAACGTTCTCAAATTCCCCCAAATTTTGGATAAAATGCCCCATCTGGCAACCCTGCCCTTTGGGTCTGGTTTTTGAAGTAGTTTGAAAGAATCTCAGGGGCAGTTTTGTGTGGTTTTTGAAGTACTTTGAAAGGATCTCGGTGATACCTTGTGTTCTGTTCTTGAAGTAGTTTGAAACAATCTCGGGGACCATTTTGTCTGGTTTTTGAAGTAGTTTGAAAGCATCTCGGAACCACTTTTTTCTAGTTTTTGAAGTAGTTTGTAAGAAACTCGGGGACAGTTTTGTGACGTTTTTGAAGTACTTTGAAAGAATCTCGGGGACTCCTTGTATCTGATTTTTGAAGTAGTTTGAAATAATCTTGGGGATCTATATTTTTGTTTTGTTTTTCAAGTAGTTTGAAACGATTTCGGTTATGCCTTGTCTTAATTTTGAAGTACATAATTTAAAAGAATCCCGGGGATCACATCTAACTAGTTTTTGAAGTAGTCTGAAAGAATCTCAGTACCGCTTTTCTTTTTGAAGTAGTTTGAAAGAATTTCATGGACAGTTTTGTGTAGTTTTTGAAGTACTTTGAAAGGATCTCGGGGATAGCTTGTGTTCTGTTCTTGAAGTAATTTCAAACAATCTCGGGGACTATTTTGTCTGGTTTTTGAAGTAGTTTGAAAGCATCTCGGGACCACTTTTGTCTAGTTTTTTAAATAGTTTGAAAGAATCTCGGGAACAGTTTTGTGAGGTTTTTGAAGAACTTTGAAAGGATCTCGGGGATACCCTGTATTCTTGAAGTAATTTGAAACAATCTCTGGGGGGGCATTTTGTCTGGTTTTTGAAGTAGTTTGAAAGAATTTGAGTACCTCTTTTATTTTTGAAGTAGTTTAAAAGAATCTCGGGGACCATTTTGTTTGAATTTTTGAAGTAGTTTCAAAGAATCTCGGGGACCACTTTTATCTAGTTTTTGAAGGAGTTTAAAAGAATTTCGCATTACCCTTGGCTTATTCTTGAAGTAGCTTGAAACAATCTCGAGGAGCATTTTGTCTGGTTTTTGAAGTAGTTTGAAACAATCTCGGGAAGCACTTTTGACTAGTTTTTGAAGTAGTTTAAAGAAATTTCGCATAATCCTTGTTTTATTTTTGAAGTAGTTTGAAGGAATCTCGGAGAACTCTTTTGTTTTGAAGTATTTTGAAAGAATCTCGGGAACCACTTGTGTCTGATTTTTGAAGTAGTTTGAAAGAATCTCGGGGATCACTTTTATCTAGTTTTTGAAGTAGTTTAAAAAATTGTTCGCATAAACCTTGTCTTATTTTTGAAGTACTACAAAAGAATTTCGGGGATACCTTGTGTTTTCTTGTTAAAGTAGTTTAAAACAATCTTAGGGACCATTTTGTCTGCTTTTTGAAGTAGTTTCAAAGAATCTCGGGGACTCCTCGCATCTAATTTTTGAAGTATGTATTTTGAAATAATCTCGGGGGTCCCTTTTGTTTTGTTTTTCAAGTAGTTTGAAACGATTTCAGTTATGCCTTGTCTTATTTTTGAAGTACATAATTTAAAAGAATCCAGGTGATCACATGTGGCTAGTTTTTGAAGTAGTTTGAAAGAATCTCAGGGACCATTTTTCTGTGGTTTTTGAAGTACATACTTTGAAAGAATCTCGGGGACCACTTTTGTCTGGTTTTTGAAGGAGTTTAAAAAAAATTCGCATAAACCTTGTCTTATTTTTGAAGTACTTCGAAAGAATTTCGGGGATACCTTGTGTTTTCTTGTTAAAGTAGCTTAAAACAATCTTAGAAACCATTTTGTCTGCTTTTTGAAGTAGTTTGAAAGAATCTCGGGACCACTTTTGTCTAGTTTTTGAAATAGTTTGAAAGAATCTCGGCAACAGTTTTGTGAGGTTTTTGAAGAACTTTGAAAAGATCTCGGGGATACCCTGTATTCTGTTTTTGAAGTAATTTGAAACAATCTCTGGGGGGCATTTTGTCTGGTTTTTGAAGTAGTTTGAAAGAATTTGAGTACCTCTTTTATTTTTGAAGTAGTTTAAAAGAATCTCGGGGACCATTTTGTTTGAATTTTTGAAGTAGTTTCAAAGAATCTCGGGGACACTTTTATCTAGTTTTTGAAGGAGTTTAAAAGAATTTCGCATAACTCTTGGCTTATTCTTGAAGTAGCTTGAAACAATCTCGAGGAGCATTTTGTTTGGTTTTTGAAGTAGTTTGAAACAATCTCGGGAAGCACTTTTGTCTAGTTTTTGAAGTAGTTTAAAGGAATTTCGCATAATCCTTGTTTTATTTTTGAAGTAGTTTGAAGGAATCTCGGAGAACTCTTTTGTTTTGAAGTATTTTGAAAGAATCTCGGGAACCACTTGTGTCTGATTTTTGAAGTAGTTTGAAAGAATCTCGGGGATCACTTTTATCTAGTTTTTGAAGTAGTTTAAAAAATTTTTCGCATAAACCTTGTCTTATTTTTGAAGTACTACAAAAGAATTTCGGGGATACCTTGTGTTTTCTTGTTAAAGTAGTTTAAAACAATCTTAGGGACCATTTTGTCTGCTTTTTGAAGTAGTTTCAAAGAATCTCGGGGACTCCTCGCATCTAATTTTTGAAGTATGTATTTTGAAATAATCTCGGGGGTCCCTTTTGTTTTGTTTTTCAAGTAGTTTGAAACGATTTCAGTTATGCCTTGTCTTATTTTTGAAGTACATAATTTAAAAGAATCCAGGTGATCACATGTGGCTAGTTTTTGAAGTAGTTTGAAAGAATCTCAGGGACCATTTTTCTGTGGTTTTTGAAGTACATACTTTGAAAGAATCTCGGGGACCACTTTTGTCTAGTTTTTGAAGGAGTTTAAAAAAAATTCGCATAAACCTTGTCTTATTTTTGAAGTACTTCGAAAGAATTTCGGGGATACCTTGTGTTTTCTTGTTAAAGTAGCTTAAAACAATCTTAGAAACCATTTTGTCTGCTTTTTGGAGTAGTTTGAAAGAATCTCGGGGACTCCTTGTATCTGATTTTTGAAGTAGTTTGAAATAATCTTGGGGACCCATTTTTTTGTTTTGTTTTTCAAGTAGTTTGAAACGATTTCGGTTATGCTTTGTCTCATTTTTGAATTACATAGTTTAAAACAATCCCGGGGGTCACATGTGTCTAGTTTTTGAAGTAGTTTGAAAGAATCTCGGGGACAACTTGTATCTGATTTTTGAAGTATGTAGTTTGAAATAATCTCGGAGGCCCCTTTTGTTTTGTTTTTCAAGTAGTTTGAAACGATTTCGGTTATGCCTTGTCTTAATTTTGAAGTACATAATTTAAAAGAATCCCGGGGATCACATGTGACTAGTTTTTGAAGTAGTTTGAAAGAATCTCAGTACCTCTTTTGTTTTTGAAGTAGTTTGAAAGAATCTCAGGGACAGTTTTGCGTGGTTTTTGAAGTACTTTGAAAGGATCTCGGGGATACCTTGTATTCTGTTATTGAAGTAGTTTGAAAGAATCTCGGGAAACATTTTTGTGTGGTTTTTGAAGGAGTTTAAAAGAATTTCGCATAAACCTTGTCTTATTTTTGAAGTACTTTGAAAGAATTTCGGGGATAGCTTGTGTTTCGTTGTTAAAGTAGTTTGAAACAATCTTAGGAACCATTTTGTCTGGTTTTTGAAGTAGTTTAAAAGAATCTCGGAGCTCACATGTGTCTAATGTTTGAAGTAGTTTGAAAGAATCTCGGGATTCTTTTTGATTTTTTTTTTAAATACTGTGAAAAAATCTCGGGGATCACTTTTGTCTGGGTTTTGAAGTAGTTTGAAAGAATCTCAGAGACCAGTTTTGTGTGGTTTTTGAAGTGCTTTGAAAGCATCTCGGGGATACCTTGTCTTTTGTCCTTGAAGTAGTTTGAAACAATCTCGAGGACCATTTTTTCTGGTTTTTTAAGTAGTTTGAAAGAATTTCGCATAACCCTTGTCTTATTTTTGAAGTAGTTTGAAGGAATCTTGGGGAACCCTTTTGTTTTGAAATATTTTGATAGTATCTTGTGGACTATTTGTGTCTGAATTTTTGAAGTAGTTTGAAAGAATCTCGGGGACCACTTTTATCTAGTTTTTGAAGGAGTTTAAAAGAATTTCGCATAACCCTTGTCTTATTTTTGAAGTAGCTTGAAACAATCTCGAGGAGCATTTCGTCTGGTTCTTGAAGTAGTTTGAAACAATCTCGGGGACTACTTTTGTCTAGTTTTTGAAGTAGTCTAAAAGAATTTCGCATAATCCTTTTCTTGTTAAAGTAGTTTAAAACAATCTTAGGGACCATTTTGTCTGCTTTTTGAAGTAGTTTGAAAAAATTTTGGATAACCCTTGCCTTATTTTTGAAGTAATTTAACAAATTTGGAGGATCCCTTTTGTTATGTTTTTGAAGTACCTACATAGTTTGAAACAACTTCGGTTGTGCCTTGTCTTGTTTTTAAAGTATTTTAAAATAATCCTGGGGACCACTTTTGTCTGGTTTTTGAAGTAGATTGAAAGAATTTCGGAGATCCTTTGCCTTGTTTTAATTAATTAATGAGATATCGAGAAACACGCCTTCAGTGACCCACGATTTATTTTGATTAGTTGAGGTTCGAAGATTTTAAATGGCTTCAGTCAATCAAAATGATTGAGTTTGTCCAATTATCACATTTTGTATTGATAAAACGTCAGTTTGTGAAAATAAGCCGACTCTAATTGACAAGATATGACTAGGTAGGGTACAGTAAAGTACAAAAAATTCAAAACGATAAACTTTTTTAATTTGTAAATTTCAAGATAACCTAACCATGATGTCCTCGGCGCTTTTTCGTGAGTCATAAGAAATTTCAAGTAAAAAAGGAAAATAATCAGTAACGAATTTCCATAAGAACCAAATACTTGACAGTAAAATTTTATCGCACATAAATATGAACATAAAACGTTGAAATGTAAATAAACAAGCCATGTAATCATTTTAGCCATCAAATCGACACCAAAGACTTCCTGGAGTTTACACTTCGTACTCAGAGTGAAAACAACACCACTAGAAAGTGACACAGTCAACAAACAATACATTTTTTTCCAATACACGAATTCGCACTAAAAGGGATTCCTAATCTATGTAAACAAGAGAAACTTTTAACAAGCTGACAACACCGGTAAAAAGCGACCTACAATTTTCACAAAGTGACCTTTCTAACGAAACAAAACTCATCAAATTTGGAAAACACCTCGAGCCGCCCCTGCTCTAACGTCTAGCCACCAAACACCGATGCACGATCATGAATACCTATTACACACACACGGTACGTATTTGGTACTGTTTGAACAGCTGCGGCGTCCTACTTATTAAATAATTAATCCCAAAATTATTTTCCCGTTAATTCCCTGACTAAACAATAAATAAAATAACGACATACCAAAATAGACGGGTTTCTCGCATTTCGGGCAGTTGGGCATCTTGGTGGGTTTAACTTTGACCTGAGCACTACTAAGTACCAACTTCGACTAAGCCCGCGGACTAACAAACGCAGGTTTTACTTAACCGGTATTCGATTTCACGCGGTGTGCGACGATGCGAAAGTGATGTAATTTCACTTGGTTTGTTATTGTCTGCACAAGTATCGTTTTTATCCTTGTATAGGTGTTAAATTGTTGAATGTATAATCTAGCGTTAGTGCCAAACGTAGAATTGATCCGTTTCGCTATTGTACCATGAGGTCTAGTACTTTAACATGATTTGTTTTTTGTGTGTGTGTGTTTGTGATTCATCGGATTTTATGATGCTTTAGTACTAATAACATAATTGCTTTTCTTTCTTTTTTTTTTTTTATTTATTGTGGAAATGTAATGCGGCTGGAAACGGATCATGATCTAACGAGGAAGGTATTTTATATACCTATATGTGTCGGTGACGCAACCGTGCTTAGCAAAAGGGTACGATAAGAGAGATAATGTGTCTGAGTTGTACGAACACAGTTCTCCAAACAGACGTTTCTGATTAGTATGCAGGCACCTGTTTCCTGCATTAAAAATTGAATACTTGATGAAAATAAGTAGTTTAGGCTTTCTAGACAATAATTTATTTTTTGACTTCTACTCACTAACTGTAAATGAAAAATCGTTTGAAATTTGTTTTAATATATAATTATCGACGTTGATATAAACGCACGTCATGATAGACAAGAGATACTCCTCCCATTATTTTGTTAATAAAGTTAACTGGTATGTGGGTGTGCGGTTATTCAAATGATTCACGCTTATATTTATCTTACGAGGTTTTTGTTTGACAATGACATAATAATCTTTTTTTGTAAATATTTTAAATGATTCAGAGTTAACTAACAGGTATACGATTTTTGCCATACAAATTTGCGTTTAAAAATATAATAAGTGCGAAAGTAATCAATTTTTTCGCGTTAATTTGATCATAATCATTTCAAAGCACGCGGTACCACGTATCAGATTTGGTTGTGTAAATTTCCAAATAAATTCTTGTACGCGATTGTAATCACTATTATATATTTTAAGTATTTTAAGATTAGATATGTCGGTTTTAATAGATTAAGCAATCAAATAAAATTAAAAAACTAAAAAAAAACTTTTGATTATGCTTGGAACGCAGTTTCAACTATTTTTCACAAGATGCAACTTCTTCTCTTAAAATCGTTGTTTTCGAACCTATTATTATCGATTATTATTATTGCCTATTATTGTCTTTCCAATTCCAAATACAATATTGTGGCATTTGTTGCAAGTTTTGTTTCCCCTCCGAATATTTTCATTCGCCGAAAATTCCTCCAAGGTCCTCAAATTCCCCAAATTGGGGAGAAAATACCCTAACGTGGCAACCCTGTCCTTTGTGTCTGGTTTTTGAAGTAGGTACATAGTTTTTCTTATGTTTTTGAAACAATTTGAAATAATGTCGGTTATGCCTCGGCTTGATTTTGAAGTAGTTTGAAAGAATCCCGGGGATCACATGTGTCTAGTTTTCGAAGTAGTTTGAAAGAATCTTTGGGATCCTGTACCTGGATTTTGAAGTAGTTTGACTGAATCTCGGGGATCACTTCTGTTTGTTTTTTGAAGTAGATTCAAAAATTCTCAGGAATCCCTTTTGTTTTGTTTTGTTTTTGAAGTATTTTGAAAGATTCTCGGAGATGCTTTGTGTCTGGTTTTTGAAGTAATTTGGACGATCTCGGAAACTCCTTTTGTTTGGTTTTTGAAGTAGTTTGAGAGAATCTCGGGTATCCTTTGTCAGAGTTGCCAGATGCGATTTTCAAAATCCTACACTCCAAACACGAAATTCCCCCAAAATAAAGCGCAAATCCCCTAAATTTAAAATTATCCAGGAAATTTAAATTTTTGTCAAATTTAAAGAGACTGCAGGTTAGAAAAATATGTTCCTAATTTTTGTGCACGTTCTGGAAGAAATGGGTTCTTAAAATTGTGATATAAATGTGGATTTTTTTATATAACCATAGATTTGTTGACATAACATATGATCTAATAATATAAATAAACAAATACAATAAAAATAAAATTTTATAAAAAAAGTCCATTAAATCTATACTCTAACACATTTAACAAACCCATTAACAAAAATCCCACCAAATATCGCCTCCGAAATTTTTCATTCGTCAAAAAATTTCCCCAAATTTTTCATTCCCCAAGAATTCTTCCAACGTTCTCAAATTCCCCCAAATTCGGAAGAAAATATGCCAATCTGGCAACCCTGCCCTTTGTGTCTGGTTTTTGGAGTAGTTTGAAGGCTCTCGGAGAACCCGTTTGTTTTGTTTTTGAAGTAGTTAGAAAGAATGTGGGGGATCCCTAGTACGTAGTTTTTGAAGTAGTTTGAGAGAATCTGGAGATTCTTTGTGCGTGGTTTATGAAATAGTTTGGCAGAATGTCAATACCCTTTTTTTGTTTTTGAAGTAGTTTGAAAGAATCTTCGGGATCTCTTGTTTTATTTTTGAGGTAGTTTTAAAGAATCTCGGGGACAACTTATGCCTAGTTTTTGAAGTAGTTTGAAACAATTTCGGGGACCCCTTTGTGTCGGGGTTTTTAAAGTAGTTTGCAAAAATCTCGGGGACTCTTTATGCCTGGTTTTTGAAGTAGTTTGAATGAATCTCCGGGATCACTTGTGTCTGATTATTGAAGTTGGTTGAAAGAATCTCGGGGATCTCTTTTACCTGGTTTTTGAAGTAGTTTGAAAGAGTCTGGAGATCCTTTGTGCGTGGTTTATGAAATAGTTTGGAAGAATGTCAAGACCCTTTTTTTGTTCTTGAAGTATTTTGAAAGAATCTTTGATATCCCTCGTCTTATTTTTGAAGTAGTTTTAAAGAATCTCGGAGACCTCTTTGTGTCCTCAAATTCCCCAAATTTGGGAGAAAATACCCAAATCTGGCAACGCTGTCCTTTTTGTCTGGTTTTTGAAGTACATAATTTGAAGCATCTTGAAGAACCCTTTTCTTTTGTTTTTGAAACAATTTGAAATAATGTCGGTTATGCCTTGGCTTGATTTTGAAGTAGATTGAAAGAATCGCCGGGACCGCTGTTGTCTAGTTTTCGAAGTAGTTTGAAAGTAACCCCTATTTTATTTTTGAAGTAGTTAGAAAGAATCATCGGGATAGGTCGTCTTGTTTTTGAAGTAATTTGAAAGAATCTTGTGGACTCCTTATGCCTGGGTTTTGAGAAGTTTGAAAGAATCTCGATGACTCCTTTGTGTCGGGGTTTTTGAAGTAGTTTGAAAGAATCTCATGGATCACTTGCCTTGTTTTTGAAGTAGTTTGAAAGAATCTCATGGATCACTTGCCTTGTTTTTGTAGTAGTTTGAAAGAATCTCGGGGACCCCATTTGTTTTGCTTTTCGAGAAGTCTGAACAAATCTCGGGGATTTTTTATATTGTTTCTGAAAGAATTTGAAAGGATCTCGGGAACCCCTTCTGTTTGTTTTTGAAGTAATTTGAAAGAATCTCATGTACCTGGTTTTTGAAGTAATTTGAAAAAATGTCAAGACCTCTTTTTTGTTTTTGAAGTAGTTTGAAAGAATGTCGGGTATCCCTTGTCTTTTTTTTGAAGTAATTTGAAAGAATTTCGGGTATTCTTTGTGCCTGGTTTATGAAGTAGTTTGAAAGAATATCACGACCCTTTTTTGATATTGAAGTAGTTTGAAAGAATCTTTGTTTTTGTCTATTGTTTTTGAAGTAATTTTTAAAGATTCGTGGAGACCCTTTGTGTCTGGTTTTTGAAGTAATTTGGACAATCTCGGAAACTCGTTTTGTTTGGTTTTTGAAGTAGTTTAGAGAATCTCGGGGATCCTTTGTCAGAGTTGCCACATGCGATTTTCAAAATCCTTCACTCCAAGCACGAAATTCCCCAAAATAAAGGGCAAATCCCCGAAATTTTTTTTTTTTTATTTATTTATTTATTATCCAGGAAATTAAAATTTTTGTTAAATTTAAAGAGACTGCAGGTTAAAAAATATCTTCCTAATTTTTGTGCACGTTCTGGAAGAAATGGGTTCTTAAAATTGTGATGTAAATGTGGATTTTTATTGAATAACCATAAATTTGTTCACATAACATATGAACTAATAATATCTAACAATAATATTTACCTACTAATGTTGCTTAAATATAAAAAACAGACACAATTATTTTTTTATAAATATATTTTTATATGAATTCATTAAATCTATACTCTAACACATTTAACAAACCCCTTAACAAAAATCCCACCAAATATCCCCTCCGAAATTTTTCATTCGTCAAAAAATTCCCCCAAATTTTTCATTCCCCAAGAATTCTCCCAACGTTCTCAAATTCCCCCAAATTCGGAAGAAAATATGCCAATCTGGCAACTCTGCCCTTTGTGTCTGGTTTTTGGAGTAGTTTGAAGGCTCTCGGAGAACCCGTTTGTTTTGTTTTTGAAGTAGTTAGAAAGAATGTGGGGGATCCCTAGTACGTAGTTTTTGAAGTAGTTTGAGAGAATCTGGAGATTCTTTGTGCGTGGTTTATGAAGTAGTTTGGCAGAATGTCAAGACCCTTTTTTTGTTTTTCAAGTAGTTTGAAAGAATCTTCGGGATCTCTTGTTTTATTTTTGAAGTAGTTTTAAAGAATCTTGGGGACACCTTATGCCTGGTTTTTGAAGTAGTTTGAAACAATTTCGGGGACCCCTTTGTGTTGGGGTTTTTAAAATAGTTTGCAAAAATCTCGGGGATTCTTTATGCCTGGTTATTGAAGTACTTTGAATGAATCTCCGGGATCACTTGTGTCTGATTTTTGAAGTGGGTTGAAAGAATCTCGGGGATCTATTTTACTTGGTTTTTGAAGTAGTTTGAAAGAATCTTGGAAATCCTTTGTGCCTGGTTAATGAAGTAGTTTGAAAGAATATCAAGACTTCTTTTTTGTTTTTTAAATATGTAGTTTGAAATAAAGAATCTTTGGGATCCCTTGTCTGGTTTCTGAGTAATTTAAAAGGATCTCGGGGACCATTTCTGTTCTGTTTTTGAAGTAATTTGAAAGAATCTTGGGATCCCTTGTACCTGGTTTTTGAAGTAGTTTAAAAGAATCTGGAGATCCTTTGTCAGTGGTTTTTGGTTTATGAAGTAGTTTGGAAGAATATCAAGACCTTTTTTTTGTCGTTGAAGTAGTTTTAAAGAATCTTCAGGATCCTTCGTCTTCTTTTTGAAGTAGTTTTAAAGAATCTCGGAGACCTCTTTGTCTTGGGGGTTTTGAAGTAGTTCCAAAAAAATCTCGGGGACTCTTCTTTATGCCTGGTTTTTGAAGTAGTTTGAATGAATCTCTGGGATCACTTGTGTCTGAGTTTTGAAGTATTTTGAAAGAATCTTGGAAATCCTTTGCGCCTGGTTTATGAAGTAGTTTGAAAGAATATCAAGACTTCTTTTTTGTTTTTTAAATATGTAGTTTGAAATAAAGAATCTTAGGGATCCCTTGTCTGGTTTCTGAGTAATTTAAAAGGATCTCGGGGACCATTTCTGTTCTGTTTTTGAAGTAATTTGAAAGAATCTTGGGATCCCTTGTACCTGGTTTTTGAAGTAGTTTGAAAGAATCTGGAGATCCTTTGTCCGCGATTTTTGGTTTATGAAGTAGTTTGGAAGAATATCAGGACCTTTTTTTTGTTCTTGAAGTAGTTTTAAAGAATCTTTGGCAACCTTCGTCTTCTTTTTGAAGTAGTTTTAAAGAATCTCGAGGACCTCTTTATGTCGGGGTTTTTTAAGTAGTTCGAAAAAATCTCGGGGACTCTTCTTTATGCCTGGTTTTTGAAGTAGTTTGAATGAATCTCTGGGATCACTTGTGTCTGATGTTTGAAGTGGATTGAAAGAATCTCGGGGATCTCTTTTCCTTGAGTTTTGAAGTAGTTTGAAAGAATCTTGGAAATCCTTTGCGCCTGGTTTATGAAGTAGTTTGAAAGAATATCAAAACTTCTTTTTTGTTTTTTAAATATGTAGTTTGAAATAAAGAATCTTTGGGATCCCTTGTCTGGTTTCTGAGTAATTTAAAAGGATCTCGGGGACCATTTCTGTTCTGTTTTTGAAGTAATTTGAAAGAATCTTGGGATCCCTTGTACCTGGTTTTTGAAGTAGTTTGAAAGAATCTGGAGATCCTTTGTCCGCGATTTTTGGTTTATGAAGTAGTTTGGAAGAATATCAGGACCTTTTTTTTGTTCTTGAAGTAGTTTTAAAGAATCTTTGGCAACCTTCGTCTTCTTTTTGAAGTAGTTTTAAAGAATCTCGAGGACCTCTTTATGTCGGGGTTTTTTAAGTAGTTCGAAAAAATCTCGGGGACTCTTCTTTATGCCTGGTTTTTGAAGTAGTTTGAATGAATCTCTGGGATCACTTGTGTCTGATTTTTGAAGTGGATTGAAAGAATCTCGGGGATCTCTTTTCCTTGAGTTTTGAAGTAGTTTGAAAGAATCTTGGAAATCCTTTGCGCCTGGTTTATGAAGTAGTTTGAAAGAATATCAAGACTTCTTTTTTGTTTTTTAAATAGTTTGAAATAAAGAATCTTTGGGATCCCTTGTCTGGTTTCTGAGTAATTTAAAAGGATCTCGGGGACCATTTCTGTTCTGTTTTTGAAGTAATTTGAAAGAATCTTGGGATCCCTTGTACCTGGTCTTTGAAGTAGTTTAAAAGAATCTGGAGATCCTTTGTCCGCGATTTTTGGTTTATGAAGTAGTTTGGAAGAATATCAGGACCTTTTTTTTGTTCTTAAAGTAGTTTTAAAGAATCTTCGAAGAACTCGAGGACCTCTTTGTTTCGGGGTTTTTGAAGTAGTTTGAATGAATCTATGGGATCATTTGTGTCTGATTTTTGAAGTGGGTTGAAAGAATCTCGGGAATCTCTTTTCCCTGGGTTTTGAAGTGGTTTGAAAGAATCTTTGCGCCTGGTTTATGAAGTAGTTTGAAAGAATATCAAGACTTCTTTTTTGTTTTATAAATAGTTTGAAATAAAGAATCTTTGGGATCCCTTGTCTGGTTTCTGAGTAATTTAAAAGGATTTCGAGGACCATTTTTGTTCTGTTTTTGAAGTAATTTGAAAGAATCTTGGGATCCCTTGTACCTGGTTTTTGAAGTAGTTAAAAAGAATCTGGAGATCCTTTGTCCGTGGTTTTTGGTTTATTAAGTAGTTTGGAAGAATATCAAGAACTTTTTTTTATTCTTAAAGTAGTTTTAAAGAATCTTCGAAGAATCTCGAGGACCTCTTTGTGTCGGGGTTTTTGAAGTAGTTTGAATGAATCTCTGGGATCATTTGTGTCTGATTTTTGAAGTGGGTTGAAAGAATCTCGGGAATCTCTTTTCCCTGGGTTTTGAAGTAGTTTGAAAGAATCTTGGAAATCCTTTGCGCCTGGTTTATGAAGTAGTTTGAAAGAATATCAAGACTTCTTTTTTGTTTTATAAATAGTTTGAAATAAAGAATCTTTGGGATCCCTTGTCTGGTTTCTGAGTAATTTAAAAGGATCTCGGGGACCATTTTTGTTCTGTTTTTGAAGTAATTTGAAAGAATCTTGGGATCTCTTGTACCTGGTTTTTGAAGTAGTTTAAACGAATCTGGAGATCCTTTGTCCGTGGTTTTTGGTTTATGAAGTAGTTTGGAAGAATATCAAGACCTTTTTTTTTTCTTGAAGTAGTTTTAAAGAATCTTCGGTATCCTTCGTCTGCTTTTTTAAGTAGTTTTAAAGAATCTCGGGAACTTCTTTGTGTCGGGGTTTTTGAAGTAGTTCGAAAAAATCTCGGGGAAGTAGGTTTAAATAATCACGTGAATCCCTTTTGTTTTGCTTTGTTTTTGAAGTATTTTGCAAGATTCTTGGAGGGCCTTTGTGTCTGGTTTTTGAAGTAATTTGAACGATCTCGGGAACTCCTTTTGTTTTGTTTTTGAAGTATGTAGTTTGAAAAAATGTCGGAGACCTCTAGTATTTGGTTTTTGAAGTAGTTTGAAATAATTTCGGGGATCCATTTTGAGAGAATCTACGATCCTTTGTCAGAGTTGCCACTCCCCCACTCCAAACCCGAAATTCGCCCAAAATAAAGCTCACATTCGCTAAAATTAAAATTTTCCAGGAAATTTAAATTAAAACAAAAAGTAAATGATTACAGATTACAAAAATCTGTCCTCAATTTTCAATTTTTGTGCACGTTATAGGAGAAGTGATATCTTAAACTGTGATACAAATGTGGATTTTTATTAAATAACCATGAATTTGTTAACATCCCCAAAATTTGGGAGAAAATATATGATTTTGGTAACCCTGCCCATTGTGTCTGCTTTTTGAAGTAATTTGAAAGAATCTCGGAGACTCCTTATGGCTGGTTTTTAAAGAAGTTTGAAAAAAATTCGAAAAACGCTTGCCTTACTTGTGAAATAGTTTGAAAGAATCTCGGGGATCGGTTTCGTCTGGTTTTTGAAGTAGTCGAAAGAATTTCGGGAACACCTTGTGTTTTGTTCTTGAAGTAGTTTGAAAGAATCTCGGGGACAATTTTGTCTGATTTTTGAAGTAGTTTGAAAGAATTTCGGAGATCCCTTGTGTCTGGTTTATGAAGTAGTTTGAAGGAATCGTTGGGATCGCGCCTTATTTTTGAAGTCATTTGAAAGAATCTAGACCACACTTTGTCTTTTGTTTTTGAAGTACATAGTTGAAAGAAGTGAATTAAGAATCTCTAGGACCATACATGAAAAAAGACACCTACAAATTTTATTATAGCGCATGCCAAGAACCTCTCTGTAATTGAGACAATGGTAAATGATGACTTTAATTTAACTCTCTACATACAGTAGTAGTCGCTATTGCAAATACTTTATTGTAAAAAAATATTTGAAGTAAATATAACATGTACAATGGAAAGAATCAAGTTTTCTTTCCCGATCCTTTCACTGACGGAGTTTTGTTTCCATTGCCGCTAGTACTTTTAGGAGTACCATTATTAACACCCTTAGGACTATTATTATTAGTACCCTTAGGAGTACCATTACTAGCACACTTCGCAGCATCATGTGTCTCACTTTTCGGGCTTGCTTTAACTTCAGGACTCTTCACGTTGTCCCCATCTCCAACCCCACCCACCGGTACTTCAGGCTTTTCAACCACGTTGCCACAAACTCTCGCCACTCTCTTCGTACAAGGACACGTACACACCGCCTTTTGCTTAACACTCTTCTCACTCCTCTCTGTGGGCAAATCCTGAATCGTCTCTTCTTTACTCACACCTTTTTCCGGCGCTTCAGCTGGTGGTTCTTCATCCTTCGTCTCCTTAACCATGTCCTCCGGGCACTTCCAGATGAAAATACTCCCCGACCCACTCGTCGTGACGATATTTTTTTGGTCAGGACTGAACCGTGCCGCTGTAATCACCGCTGAGTGTCCTTCCCCGATGTGTGTAGTGATTCCTGTAACAAGTACTTTAACTATGCAAGATCTAGATTGGTAGTTACCTAGCTGGTAGTCCCACAATTTGACAATTTGGTCATTGCCTCCCGTCACAAACACTTTCCCATCTTCGGAAATATCAAGCGCGTTGATCGCCCCCGATGATGAACCTTCCACTTCACGAACCAAAGTACCATCTAGAACCTCCCAGTAGGACAGCTTCCGGTCGGAACCACCCGTTAGAATCTGCACATCGGTAGGGAAATACCGAGCACACATGAAGAGAGTCGTACCAAACATGATATGCCGGCGACACTGCCGCACCAAATCCCAGATGATGCAAGTACCGTCGGTACTAGCGCTCACCGCTTCAGTACCCGCTTTATTAATATCGACAGCAGACACCGGAGCTTTGTGCTCTTTCAAGGTACAAATGAGCTGCTGACGGTAGGGCGAAATAGCCCACATGCGTACCTAAATCACCAATTAGTTCGAATCGAGTGACGTGGTGGTGGTCCTACCTGACCCTCGCAGCCTCCGCTAACTATAAGGTTCCCCGAGTGGTTAGTGGCAAGGGCCGACACTCCTTTATTGTGGGCATTGAGTATAGCGTAGATCAGTTTTCCGGTTAAGGGCGTGAAGGACCTGATGATACCGTCGTTCCAAGCTGTCAGAATTGATTTTCCGTCGTGCGCGAAAACGACACTCGAGGCGCTGAAGTTCTGGACGTAGATCCGGAGGAGTTCTTGGAGGGTTCTGATAGACCAGACGCGGACTTCGTTTTGGCCGGCGGTGGCAAACACTTCGGAGAAGTCGCTTCAAGGAGAATTAGTACGATTGATTTTAGGTTATTTTTACTTCTTGAAAAATAAGTTTCCGCTGACGTTGCTTTTAAGGCAAAATGTTGACCCGTCCACCCACCCTGTCTTAATTGTGATGATTTTTTTATTCGTCGTGAGTCAATAGGGCGGAGCTTAACTGCAAAATCCTATTTCTCTACGAGAAATTAAAAACATGTTTTTGAGTATCGTGTTGTTCAAAGAATACTAGGTGTATTAAGAAAAAAATAAAGCCAAAGATTAGGAGCCACCCATACCCGTCCCCATCTGAATTGTCAATTGTGATGAATTTTTCATTCGTTGTCAGATCGAGGGGTAGGGCTTAATTGCAAGATTCATATTTGTGTACAAGAATTTACCATTTTAAACATGTTGTAGTGTCTTGTTCTGAAAAGACGGCTTAGTATATTAAGAAAAGGGACAAAATATTAGCCCCGCCCACCCGCCCTGTCCCAATTCTGGTCACTTTTTTTTATTCGTCATAAGCCGAGGGGCGGAGCTTAACTGTAAAATCCCTATTTCTCTACAAGAAATTACCATGTAAGACACGTTTTTGAGTACCGAGTTATTCAAAGAATACTATGTATCTATGTATATTAAGAAAAAATTAAATCCAAAGATTAAGCCCCACCCATACGTCTTCTGATCTAAATAGTAATGAAATTTTCATTCGTTGTCAGACGTAGGGGCGGAGCCTAATGCAAAATCCATATTTCCTTATAGAAATGTAACAGAAATTTAAACGTGTTTCCCTTTTTTTCTTAATATAAGTACCTACGTAGTATTCTTTAAACATTACTCAAAAACATGTTTTTAATTAGGTACTTGTAAAGAAATAAATATTTTGCAGTTAAACTCCACCCCCTTGATTCACGGCGAATAAAAAAATCATCAGAATTGCGATAGGGCGGGTGGGCGGGGCTTATATTTTGCTTGTTTGTTCTAATATATGTAAACTTCTTTTCACAACATGAAATTTAAACATGTTTTAACTTTCTTGTTGTGAGAAGATTAATCTATGTATATTAAGAAAAAAAGATAAGATATAAGCCCCGCCCACCTGCCCTTTCTCAATTCTGACGATTTTTTTTTATTCGTTGTAAGCTTAGGGGCGGAGCTTAATTGTAAAATTTTTATGTCTCTACAAGAAATTACCATGTAAGACATGTTTTTAAGTACTGAGTTATTCAAAGAATACTGCGTATGGATATTAGGAAAAAATTAAAGCGTACGTGCCCTGATCTAAATAGTAATGAAGTTTTCATTCGTTGGCACACTTAAAGGCGGAGTCTAATTGCAAAATCCATATTTCCTTAAAAAAATGTACCATTTTAAACGTGTTTTAAGTTTCTAAGAATAAAAAAAAAATCATCACAATTGAGATGGGGTGGGCGGGCGGGGTTTATATTTTGCCTTTTTTCTTAATATAAGTACCTACGTAATATTCTTTGAACAACACGTTACTTAAAAACATGATTTTAGTTACTTGTAAAGAAATAAATATTTTGCAGTTAAGCTCCGCCCTCTTGGTTCACGGCGAATAAAAAATCATCAGAATAGCGATAGGGCGGGTGGGCGGGGCTCATATTTTGCTTGTTTGTCCTAATATATGCAGACTTCTTTTCACAACATGAAATTTAAACATGTTTTAACTTTGTTGTTGTGAAAAGATTAATCTATGGATATTAAGAAAAAAGACAAAATATAAGTCCCGCCCACCCGCCCTGTCTCAATTCTGATGATTTTTTTTTTATTTGTTGTAAGCCGAGGGGCGGAGCTTAATTGTAAAATTCTTATTTCTCTACAAGAAATTACCATGTAAGACATGTTTTTGAGTACTGGGTCATTAAAAGAATACTATGTATGGATATTAAGAAAAAATTAAAGCATACGTGCCCTGATCTAAATAGTAATGAAGTTTTCATTCGTTGGCAGACTTAGAGGCGGCGCCTAATTGCAAAATCCATGTTTCCTTATAAAAATGTACCATTTTAAAAGTGTTTTACGTTTCTAAGAATACAAAAAAGTCATCACAATTGAGATGGGGTGGGCGGGCGGGGTTTATATTTTCCCTTTTTTTTTAATATAAGTATCTACGCAGTATTCTTTGAACAACATGGTACCTACTCAAAAACATGTTTTTAATTACTCGTAAAGAAATAAATATTTTGCAGTTAAGCTCCGCCCTCTTGGTTCACGGCGAATAAAAAAATCATCAGAATAGCGATAGGGCGGGTGGGCGGGGTTTATATTTTGCTTGTTTGTTCTAGTATATGTAGACTTCTTTTCATAACATGAAATTGAAACATGTTTTAACTTACTTGTTGTGAAAAGATTAATCTATGTATATTAAGAAAAAAAGACGAAATATAAGCCCCGCCCACCCACCCTGTCTCAATTCTGATGATTTTTTTTTATTCGTTGTAAGCCGAGGGGCGGAGATTAATTGTAAAATTTTTATTTCTCTACAAGAAATTACCATGTAAGACATGTTTTTGAGTACTGGGTTATTAAAAGAATACTATGTATGGATATTAAGAAAAAATTAAAGCATACGTGCCCTGATCTAAATAGTAATGAAGTTTTCATTCGTTGGCAGACTTAGAGGCGAAGCCTAATTGCAAAATCCATATTTCCTTATAAAAATGTACCATTTTAAACGTGTTTTAAGTTTATAAGAATAAAAAAATCATCACAATTGAGATGGAGTGGGCGGGGTTTATATTTTCCCTTTTTTTCTTAATATAAGTACCTGCGTAGTATTCTTTGAACAACACGTTACTCAAAAATATGTTTTTAATTACTTATAAAGAAATAAGTATTTTGCAGTTAAGCTCCGCCCCTTTGGTTCACGGCGAATAAAAATAATCATCAGAATAGCGATAGGGCGGGTGGGCGGAGCTTATATTTTGCTTGTTTGTTCTAATATATGTAGAGTTCTTTTCACAACATGAAATTTAAACATGTTTTAACTTTCTTGATGTGAAAAGATTAATCTATGTATGTTAAGAAAAAAAGACAAAATATAAGCCCCGCCCACCCGCCCTATCTCAATTCTGACGATTTTTTTTTATTCGTTGTAAGCCGAGGGGCGGAGCTTAATTGTAAAATTTTTATTTCTTTACAAGAAATTACCATGTAAGACATGGTTTTGAGTACTGGGTTGTTCAAAGAATACTATGTATGGATATTAAGAAAAAATTAAAGCATACGTGCCCTGATCTAAATAGTAATGAAGTTTTCATTCGTTGGCAGACTTAGAGGCGGAGCCTAATTGCAAAATCCATATTTCCTTATAAAAATGTACCATTTTAAACGTGTTTTAGGTTTATAAGAATAAAAAAAATCATCACAATTGAGATGGAGTGGGCGGGGTTTATATTTTCCCTTTTTTTCTTAATATAAGTACCTGCGTAGTATTCTTTGAACAACACGTTACTCAAAAATATGTTTTTAATTACTTATAAAGAAATAAGTATTTTGCAGTTAAGCTCCGCCCCTTTGGTTCACGGCGAATAAAAATAATCATCAGAATAGCGATAGGGCGGGTGGGCGGGGCTTATATTTTGCTTGTTTGTTCTAATATATGTAAACTTCTTTTCACAACATGAAATTTAAACATGTTTTAACTTTCTTGTTATGAAAAGATTAATCTATGTATATTAAGAAAATAAAACAAAATATAAGCCCCGCCCACCCGCCCTATCTCAATTCTAATGATTTTTTTTTAATCGTTGTAAGCCGAGGGGCGGAGCTTAATTGTAAAATCCTTATTTCTCAACAAGAAATTACCTTGTAAGACATATTTTTGAGTACTGAGTTATTCAAAGAATACGATGTATGTATATTAAGAAAAAATTGAAGCATACGTGCCCTGATCTAAATAGTAATGAAGTTTTCATTCGTTGGCAGACTTAGAGGCGGAGCCTAATTGCAAAATCCATATTTCCTTATAAAAATGTACGATTTTAAACGATCCTGTTTTAAATTTCTAAGAATAAAAAAAGATCATCACAATTGAGATGGGGTGGGCGGGCGGGGTTTATATTTTCCCTTTTTTACTTAATATAAGTGCCTCCGTAGTTTTCTTTGAACAACACCTTACTCAAAAACATGTTTTTAATTACTCGTAAAGAAATAAATATTTTGCAGTTAGCTCCGCCCCCTTGGTTCACGGCGACTAAAAAAATCATCAGAATTGCGATAGGGCGGGTGGGCGGGGCTTATAGTTTGCTTGTTTGTTCTAGTATATGTAGACTTCTTTTCACAACATGAAATTTAAACATGTTTTAACCTTCTTGTTGTGAAAAGATTAATCCATGTATATTAAGAAAAAAAGACAATATATAAGCCCCACCCACCCGCCCTATCGCAATTCTGATGATTTTTTTATTCGCCGTGAACCAAGGGGGCGGAGCTTAACTGCAAAATATTTATTTCTTTGCAAGTAATTATAAACTTGTTTTTGAGTAACATGTTGTTTAAAGAATATTACGCAGGTACTTATATTAAGAAAAAAAGGGAAAATATAAACCCCGCCCGCCCACCCCATCTCAATTGTGATGACTTTTTTGTATTCTTAGAAACGTAAAACACTTTTAAAATGGTACATTTTTATAAGGAAACATGGATTTTGCAATTAGGCTCCGACTCAAAGTCTGCCAACGAATGAAAACTTCATTACTATTTAGATCAGGGCACGTATGCTTTAATTTTTTCTTAACATCCATACATAGTATTCTTTGAATAACTCACTACTCAAAAACATGTCTTACGTGATAATTTCTTGTAGAGAAATAAGAATTTTACAATTAAGCTCCGCCCCTCGGCTTACAACGAATAAAAAAAAATAATCAGAATTGAGATAGGGCGGGTGGGTGGGGCTTATATTTTGTTTTTTTTTTTCTAAATATACATAGATTAATTTTTTCACAACAAGAAAGTTAAAATATGTTTAAATTTCATTTTGTGAAAAGAAGTCTACATATATTAGAACAAACAAGCAAAATATAAGGCCCGCCCACCCACCCTATCGCTATTCTGATGATTATTTTTATTCGCCGTTAACCAAGGGGGCGGAGCTTAACTGCAAAACACATTTCTTTACAAGAAATTAAAAAAATGTTTTTGAGTAATGTGTTGTTCAAAGAATACTACGTAGGTACTTGTATTTAGAAAAAAAAAGTGGAAATATGGATTTTGAAATTAGGCTCCGCCGCTAAGTCTGCCAACGAATGAAAACTTCATTACTATTTAGATCAGGGCACATATGCTTTAATTTTTTCTTAATATCCATACGTAGTATTCTTTGATTAACTCAGTACTCAAAAACATGTCTTACATGGTAATTTCTTGTAGAGAAATAAGAATTTTACAATTAAACTCCGCCCCTCGGCTTACAACGAATAAAAAAAAAAACATCAGAATTGAGACAGGGCGGGTGGGCGGGGCTTATATTTTGTCTTTTTTTATTAATATACATAGACTAATCTTTTCACTACAAGAAAGTTAAACATGTTTAAATTTCATCTTGTGAAAAGAAGTCTACATACACTAGAACAAACAAGCAAAATATAAATCCCGCCCACCCGCCCTATCGCAATTCTGATGATTATTTTTATTCGCCGTTAACCAAGCTTAACTGCAAAACACATTTCTTTACAAGAAATTAAAAAAATGTTTTTGAGTAATGTGTTGTTCAAAGAATACTACGTAGGTACTTGTATTTAGAAAAAAAAAATGGAAATATGGATTTTGAAATTAGGCTCCGCCTCAAAGTCTACCAACGAATGAAAACTTCATTACTACTTAGATCAGGGCACGTATCCTTTAGTTTTTTCTTAATATACATACATAGCATTCTTTGAGTAACTCAGTACTCAAAAAACATGTCTTACATGGTAATTTCTTGTAGAGAAATAAGAATTTTATAATTAAGCTCCGCCCCTCGGCTTACAACGAATAAAAAAAAAAATCATCAGAATTGAGACAGGGCGGGTGGGCGGGGCTTATATATTGTCTTTTTTTCTTAATATACATGGATTAATCTTTTCACAACAAGAAGGTTAAAACATGTTTAAATTTCATGTTGTGAAAAGAAGTCTACATATACTAGAACAAACAAGCAAAATATAAGCCCCGCCCACCCGCCCTATCTCAATTCTGATGATTTTTTTTATTCGTTGTAAGCCGAGGGGCGGGCTTAATTGTAAAATTCTTATTTCTCGATAAGAAATTACCATGTAAGACATGTTTTTGAGTACTGAGTTATTCAAAGAATACTATGTATGTATATTAAGAAAAATTAAAGTCAAAGATTACGCCTCACCCATACGTGCCCTGATCTAAATAGTAATGAAGACCTAGGGGCGGAGCCTAATTGTAAAATCCATATTTCCCTACAAAAAATCACCTTTGCAAATATATTTTAAGTTTCTAAGAACAAGAAAAACATCACATGGACGATCAGCAACGTCAGCATCAAGTTTATAAATCGACCTATAATCTCCAAAACTACTGAACCGATTGTTATCAAATTTTATATGTGCATTAGGAATATCGCCTACATGGTAAAACACTAACCAACACTAGGATAACGTCAAAAATGTGTAAAATTTCGCAAAATCAAATTCTATAACTTTCCAAAAAACAGCATATTTATTGGACTGTACTTTCTACCAATCGTTTTACTTACTATGGAAATGCGATGTCATAAATCGTGGAAGTGTGACAAGTCACAAGCAACTCAGTGTCGAAGGTCTTCATATCAATGAAATAGATCTCGCTGTGTGCAGTCCCCGCCAAAATAACTCTATCTTTATCCATCAACTGCAACGAAGTGACCGCCCCAAACACGAAGGTACTTTTCATCTGAAACGAGTCCATTTTCAAAAATCCCACTCACCCCCTCACCACTCACGACTCTCAGCGTCGGTATCGACGGCATCTTCACCCTCGGATCCTCCTTCCCCCCCACATACTTGGTCTCCTCCACCAGCTCCACCGTGCCATCCCCCGCCCCAATCAGCAGCGGCCCCGCGAACAACCTCCGGATCGACTTCACCCCCAAACTGTACAACTCCACCTTGCCCGGCGGCAGCCGCTTCCTACTGATCTTCGTGAAGCACCCCACCGTCAGCGGGTGCTTCGCCGGCATCAGAATGTCGATGTCGTGGTTGAAATTCAGCCTGATCTTCAAAATGTCCCCGGTGGCCGTGCCGCAGTAGCAGACCTCGTCGCGCTCGTTCACGTCCATGCACAGGACGCTCCTCTTCAGCTTGCCCATGCTGACGTCCAGGGGGTGCACCTTCCTGGCGTCCTTGTCCACGGTCCAGACGGCCAGGTGGTTGTCGCCGCCCGTCATGAAACAGGCCCCACGCCGGTTCATGCTGAGGATGGTGGTGGCTTCGCCTTGGATGCCGTGCGCTGCGGCGGAACCGCACACCACGTGGCTTTCCACCACGTCCCACACGACCACGTTGCCGCAGTCGCGCCCGCCGATGGAGAAGAGGTAGTTGTCGTTGCTGGAGAAGGTGACGGCTTCGACGCGGACTTTGTGGAGTTCGTGCTGGGAGATGATGGAGTGGGTGTGGAAGTCCCAGATGATGACGCGGGCCTGGGGATACGTAGTGGTTAGTTATGTAGTGTAGGTTCTGGTTCATGTCAGGAAAAATGTTAGCTGTTATAGAAAAAATGGGGCCAGAAGTAAGTTCTGGAGGTTGAAATCTACAACAAAATGTCATTGGTTGAATTTTGAAAATGGTCGAAAAGGGGCCGAAATTGTGTGAGGTCCTGGGTCAACATTTTGGAATTATTAGGCTTGGAAACCTATTTTTTTGGAAAATCTTAAAAATTACCTTATTTCAATTGAAAATTCCGGGAAAATGGCAAGAGTTATCGAAGAAATAGAACCAAAAGTAACTTGTAGGTCCAAATCTATAAGAAAATGTCTTTTGAAAATGATCCAAAATGAACAGAAATTTTCATATTGAGAAATTTTGTTTTTGAGAAAGTTGCAGAAAAACCTTTTATAAAAATTTTGATACATAGATTTCGACGCGGTGATTCCAAAAATATAACGTGTGTGAGTTCCCGGGTCAACAATTTGGAAGTATTCGGCTTGGAAACCTATTTTTTGGAAAATCTTAAAAATTGCCTTATTTTAATTAAAAATTCCGGGAAAATGGCAAGAGTTATCGAAGAAATAGAACCAAAAGTAACTTATAGGTCCAAATCTATAAGAAAATGTCTTTTGAAAATGATAAAAAATGAGCAGAAATTTTCATATTGAGAAATTTTGTTTTTGAAAAAGTTGCAGAAAAACTGCAATAAAAATTCTAAGATGTAGATTTCGACGCGTTGATTCCAAAAATATAACGTGTGTGAGGTCCCGGGTCAACAATTTGGAAGTATTCGGCTTGGAAACCTATTTTTTTGGAAAATCTTAAAAATTGCTTTAATTCAATTGAAAATTCCGGGAAAATGGCAAGAGTTATGGAAGGAATGGAACCGAAAGTAACTTTTGTAGGTCCATATCTATAACAAAATGTCTTTAGTTAAATTTCGAAATTGGTCGAAAATGGGTAGAAATTTTCATTTTTGAGAAATTTGGCTTTTGAAAAAGTTGCAGAAAAATTTCTATAAAAACTCTTAGATGTAGATTTCGACGCGTTGATTCCAAAAATATAACGTGTGTGAGGTCCTGGGTCAACATTTTGGAACTTGGAAACCTATTTCTTTGGAAAATATTAAAAATTGCTTTATTTCAATTGAAAATTCGGGGAAAATTGCAAGAGTTATGGAAGAAATGGAACCGAAAGTAACTTTTGTAGGCTCAAATCTATAACAAAATGTCTTTAGTTAAATTTCGAAATTGGTCGAAAATGGGTAGAAATTTTTATTTTTGAAAAATTTAGCTTTTGAAAAAATTGCAGAAAAATGTCTATAAAAATTGTGAGATGTAGATTTCCACACGTTCATTCCAAAAATATAACGTGTGTGAGGTCCCAGATCAACATTTTGGAAGTATTCGTCTTGGAAACCTATTTTTTGGAAAATCTTAAAAATCGCCTTATTTTAATTGAAAATTCCGGGAAAATGGCAAGAGTTATCGAAGAAATAGAACCGAAAGTAACTTTTGTAGATTCAAATCTATAAAAAAATGTCTTTAGTTGAATTTCGAAAATGGGTAGAAATTTTTATTTTTGAAAAATTTTGCTTTTGGAACAGTTCCAGAAAAATTTCTATAAAAATTCTGAGATGTAGATTTCGCCGCGTTGATTCCAAAAATATAACGTGTGTGAGGTTCCAGATTAACGTTTTGGAAATATTCGGCTGGGAAACGTATTTTTTTGGAGAATCTTAAAAATTGCCTTATTTCAATTAAAGATTCCGGGATAATGGCCAGAGTTATGGAAGAAATGGAACGGAAAGTAACTTTTGTAGGTCTAAATCTATAAGAAAATGTTTATAGTTGAATTTCGAAAATAGTCGAAAACGGGTGGAAATTTTCATAAAAGACGGGTATTTAGAAATGTTGTTTTTGAAAAAGTTCCAGAAAAATTTCTATAAAAATTCTGAGATGTAAATTTCGACGTGTTGATTCCAAAAATATAACGTGTGTGAGATTCCAGGTTAACATTTTCGAAATATTCGGCTTGGAATCCTATTTTTTTAGAAAATCTTAAAAATTGCCTTATTTCAATTAAAGATTCCGGGAAAATGGCCAGAAATATGGAAGAAATGGAACGGAAAGTAACTTATGTAGATCTAAATCTATAAGAAAAGTCTTTAGTTTAATTTCGAAAATAATCGAAAATGAGTGGAAATTTTCATAAAGGAAGGGTATTGAGAAATTTTGCTTTTGAAAAAGTTCCAGAAAAATTTCTATAAAAATTGTGAGATGTAGATTTCGACGCGTTGATACCAAAAATATAGGTGTGTGAGGTTCCAGGTTAACATTTTGGAAATATTCGGCTTGGAAACGTATTTTTTTGGAAAATCTTAAAAATTGCCTTATTTCAATTAAAGATTCCCGGAAAATGGCCAGAATTATGAAAGAAATGGAACGGAAAGTAACTTTTGTAGGTCTAAATCTATAAGAAAATGTCTTTCGTTGAATTTCGAAAATAGTCGAAAATGGGTGGAAATTTTCATAAAAGACGGGTATTCAAAAATTTTGCTTTTGAAAAAGTTCCAGAAAAATTTCTATAAAAATTGTGAGGTGTAGATTTCGATGCGTTGATTCCAAAAATATAACGTGTGTGAGGTTCCAGATTAACATTTTGGAAATATTCGGCTTGGAAAAGCATTTTTTTGGAAAATCTTAAAAATTGCCTTATTTCAATTAAAGATTCCGGGAAAATGGCCAGAGTTATGGAAGAAATGGAACGGAAAGTAACTTTTGTAGGTCTAAATCTATAAGAAAATGTCTTTAGTTGAATTTCGAAAATAGTCGAAAATGGGTGGAAATTTTCATACAGGAAGTGTATTGAGAAATTTTGCTTTTGAAAAAGTTGCAGAAAAATTTGTATAAAAATTCTGAGATGTACATTTCGACGCGTTGATTCCAAAAAGATAACGTGTGTGAGGTTCCAGATTAACATTTTGGAAATATTCGGCTTGGAAAAGCATTTTTTTGGAAAATCTTATAAATTGCCTTATTTCAATTAAAGATTCCGGGAAAATGGCTAGAGTTATGGAAGAAATGGAACGGAAAGTATCTTTTGTAGGTCTAAATCTATAAGAAAATGTCTTTAGTTGAATTTCGAAAATAGACGAAAATGGGTGAAAATTTTCATAAAAGACGGGTATTGAGAAATTTTGCTTTTGGAAAAGTTCCAGAAATATTTCTATATAAATTCTGAGATGTACATTTCGACGCGTTGATTCCAAAAAGATAACGTGTGTGAAGTTCCAGATTAACATTTTGGAAATATTCGGCTTGGAAAAGCATTTTTTTGGAAAATCTTATAAATTGCTTTATTTCAATTAAAGATTCCGGGAAAATGGCCAGAGTTATGGAAGAAATGGAACGGAAAGTAACTTTTGTAGGTCTAAATCTATAAGAAAATGTCTTTAGTTGAATTTCGAAAATAGACGAAATTGGGTGGAAATTTTTATAAAAGACGGGTATTGAGAAATTTTGCAGATTTCGACGCGTTGATTCCAAAAATATAACGTGTGTGAGGTTCCAGGTTAACATTTTGGAAATATTCGGCTTGAAAACGTATTTTTTTTGATAATCTTAAAAATTGCCTTATTTCAATTAAAGATTCCGGGATAATGGCCAGAGTTATGGAAGAAATGGAACCTAAAGTAAGTTTTGTAGGTCTAAATAAATCTATAAGAAAATGTCTTTGGTTGAATTTCGAAAATAGTCGAAAATGGGTGGAAATTTTTTCGAAGGACGAGTATGGAGAAATTTTGCTTTTGAAAACGTTCCAGAAAAATTTCTATAAACATTCTGAGATGTAGATTTCGACGCGTTGATTTCAAAAATATAACGTCTGTGAGGTTCCAGATTAACATTTTGGAAATATTCGGCTTGGAAACGTATTTTTTTGGAAAATCTTAAAAATTGCCTTATTTCAATTAAAGATTCCGGGAAAATGGCCAGAATTATGAAAGAAATGGAACGGAAAGTAACTTTTGTAGGTCTAAATTTATAAGAAAATGGTTTTAGTTGAATTTCGAAAATGGTCGAAAATGGGTGGAAATTTTCATAAAAGACGGGTATTGAGAAATATTGCTTTTGAAAAAGTTGCAGAAAAATTTCTATAAAAATTCTGAGATGTAGATTTCGTTGCGTTGATTCCAAAAATATAACGTGTGTGAGGTTGCAGATTAACATTTTGGAAATATTCGGCTTGGAAACGCATTTTTTTGGAAAATCTTAAAAATTGCCTTATTTCAATTAAAGATTCCGGGAAAATGGCCAGAGTTATAGAAGAAATGGAACGGAAAGTAACTTTTGTAGGTCTAAATCTATAAGAAAATGTCTTTAGTTGAATTTCGAAAATAGTCGAAAATGGGTGGAAATTTTCATAAAGGAAGGATATTGAGAAATTTTGCTTTTGAAAAAGTTGCAGAAAAATTTGTATAAAAATTGTGAAATGTAGATTTCGACGCGTTGAGTCCAAAAATATGACGTGTGTGAGATTCCAGGTTAACATTTTGGAAATATTCGGCTTGGAAACGTATTTTTTTGTAAAATCTTAAAAATTGCCTTATTTCAGTTAACGATTCCGGGAAAATGGCCAGAGTTATGGAAGAAATGCAACGGAAAGTAACTTTTGTAGGTCTGAATCTATAAGAAAATGTCTTTAGTTGAATTTCGAAAATAGTCGAAAATGGGTGAAAATTTTCATAAAAGACGGGTATTGAGAAATTTTGCTTTTGGAAAAGTTCCAGAAAAATTTCTATAAAAATTCTGAGATGTAGATTTCGACGTGTTGATTCCAAAAATATAACGTGTGTGAGATTCCAGGTTAACATTTTGGAAATATTGGCTTGGAAACGTATTTTTTTGGAAAATTTTAAAAATTGCCTTATTTCAATAAAATATTCCGGGAAAATGGTCACAGTTATGGAAGAAATGGAACGGAAAGTAACTTTTGTAGGTCTAAATCTATAAAAAAATGTCTTTAGTTTAATTTCGAAAATAATCGAAAATGAGTGGAAATTTTCATAAAGGAAGGGTATTGAGAAATTTTGCTTTTGGAAAAGTTCCAGGAAAATTTGTATAAAAATTGTGAAATGTAGATTTCGACGCGTTGATTCCAAAAATATAACGTGTGTGAGGTTCCAGATTAATATTTTCGAAATATTCGGCTTGGAAACGTATTTTTTTGGAAAATCTTAAAAATTGCCTTATTTCAATTAAAGATTCCGGGAAAATGGCCAGAGTTATGGAAGAAATAGAACCTAAAGTAAGTTTTGTAGGTCTAAATAAATCTATAAGAAAATGTCTTTGGTTGAATTTCGAAAATAGTCGAAAATGGGTGGAAATTTTTTCAAAGGACGAGTATATATGGAGAAATTTTGCTTTGGAAAACGTTCCAGAAAAATTTCTATAAAAATTCTGAGATGTACATTTCGACGCGTTGATTCCAAAAAGATAACGTGTGTGAGGTTCCTGATTAACATTTTGGAAATATTCGGCTTGGAAAAGCATTTTTTTGGAAAATCTTATAAATTGCCTTATTTCAATTTAAGATTCCGGGAAAATGGCTAGAGTTATGGAAGAAATGGAACGGAAAGTATCTTTTGTAGGTCTAAATCTATAAGAAAATGTCTTTAGTTGAATTTCGAAAATAGACGAAAATGGGTGAAAATTTTCATAAAAGACGGGTATTGAGAAATTTTGCTTTTGGAAAAGTTCCAGAAATATTTCTATATAAATTCTGAGATGTACATTTCGACGCGTTGATTCCAAAAAGATAACGTGTGTGAAGTTCCAGATTAACATTTTGGAAATATTCGGCTTGGAAAAGCATTTTTTTGGAAAATCTTATAAATTGCCTTATTTCAATTAAAGATTCCGGGAAAATGGCCAGAGTTATGGAAGAAATGGAACGGAAAGTAACTTTTGTAGGTCTAAATCTATAAGAAAATGTCTTTAGTTGAATTTCGAAAATAGACGAAATTGGGTGGAAATTTTTATAAAAGACGGGTATTGAGAAATTTTGCAGATTTCGACGCGTTGATTCCAAAAATATAACGTGTGTGAGGTTCCAGGTTAACATTTTGGAAATATTCGGCTTGAAAACGTATTTTTTTTTGATAATCTTAAAAATTGCCTTATTTCAATTAAAGATTCCGGGATAATGGCCAGAGATTATGGAAGAAATGGAACCTAAAGTAAGTTTTGTAGGTCTAAATAAATCTATAAGAAAATGTCTTTGGTTGAATTTCGAAAATAGTCGAAAATGGGTGGAAATTTTTTCGAAGGACGAGTATGGAGAAATTTTGCTTTTGAAAACGTTCCAGAAAAATTTCTATAAACATTCTGAGATGTAGATTTCGACGCGTTGATTTCAAAAATACAACGTGTGTGAGGTTCTAGATTAACGTTTTGGAAATATTCGGCTTGGAAACGTATTTTTTTGGAAAATCTTAAAAATTGCCTTATTTCAATTAAAGATTCCCGGAAAATGGCCAGAATTATGGAAGAAATGGAACGGAAAGTAACTTTTGTAGGTCTAAATGTATAAGAAAATGTCTTTATTTGAATTTCGAAAATAGTCGAAAATGGGTGGAAATTTTCATTAAGGACGAGTATTGAGAAATTTTGCTTTTGAAAAAGTTGCTGTAAAATTTCAATAAAAATTCTGAAATGTAGATTTCGACGCGTTGATTCCAAAAATATAACGTGTGTGAAGTTCCAGATTGACATTTTGGAAATAATCGGCTTGGAAACGTATTTTTTTGGAAAATCTTAAAAACTGCCTTATTTCAATTAAAGATTCCGGGAAAATGGCCAGAGTTATGGAAGAAATGGAACGGAAAGTAACTTTTGTAGGTCTAAATCTATAAAAAAATGTATTTAGTTTAATTTCGAAAATAATCGAAAATGAGTGGAAATTTTCATAAAGGAAGTGTATTGAGAAATTTTGCTTTTGGAAAAGTTCCAGAAAAATTTGTATAAAAATTGTGAGATGTAGATTTCGACGCGTTGATTTCAAAAATATAACGTATGTGAAGTTCCAGGTTAACATTTTGGAAATATTCGGCTTGGAAACGTATTTTTGCGGAAAATCTTAAAAATTGCCTTATTTCAATTAAAGATTCCGGGAAAATGGCCACAGTTATGGAAGAAATGGAACGGAAAGTAACTTTTGTAGGTCTAAAACTATAAGAAAATGTCTTTAGCTGAATTTCGAAAATAGTCGAAAATGGGTGGAAATTTTCATAAACGACGGGTATTGAGAAATTTTGCTTTTGAAAAAGTTCCACAAAAATTTCTATAAAAATTCTGAGATGTAGATTTCGACGTGTTGATTCCAAAAATATAACGTGTGTGAGATTCCAGGTTAACATTTTGGAAATATTCGGCTTGGAAACCTATTTTTTTGGAAAATTTTAAAAATTGCCTTATTTCAATTAAAGATTCCGGGAAAATGGCCAGAGTTATCGAAGAAATTGAACGGAAAGTAAATTTTGTAGGCCTAAATCTAGAAGAAAATGTCTTTAGTTAAATTTCGAAAATGGTCAAAAATGGGTTGAAATTTTCATTTTTGAGAAATTTTGCTTTTGAAAAAGTTGCAGAAAAATTTCTATAAAAATTCTGAGATGTAGATTTCGACGCGTTGATTCCAAAAATATAACGTGTGTGAGGTTCCAGATTAACATTTTGGAAATATCCGGCTTGGAAACGTATTTTTTTGGAAAATCTTAAAAATTGCCTTATTTCAATTGAAAATTACGGGAAAATGGCAAGAGTTATGGAAGAAATGGAACCGAAAGTAATTTTTGTATGTCCAAATCTATAACAAAATGTGTTTAGTTAAATTTCGAAAATGGTCAAAAATGGGTAGAAATTTTCGTAAGGGGCGGGTATTGAGAAATTTTGCTCTTAAAAAACTTGCAGAAAAAATTCTACAAAAATTCTGAGATGTAGATTTCGACGCGTTCATTCCAAAAATATAACGTGTGTGAGGTCCTGGGTCAACATTTTGGAATTATTAGGCTTGGAAACCTATTTTTTTGGAAAATCTTAAAAATCGCATTATTTCAATTGAAAATTCCCGGAAAATGGCAAGAGTTATGGAAGAAATGGAACCCGAAGTAACTTTTGTAGGTCCAAATCTATAACAAAATGTCTTTAGTTAAATTTCGAAAATGGTCAAAAATGGGTAGAAATTTTCATAAGGGGCGGGTATTGAGAAATTTTGCTTTTGAAAAACTTGCAGAAAAATTTCTATAAAAATTCTGAGATTTAGATTTCGACGCGTTGATTCCAAAAATATAACGTGTGTGAGGTCCTGGGTCAACATTTTGGAAGTATTCGGCTTAGAAACCTATTTTTTTGAAAATCTTGAAAATTGCATTATTTCAATTGAAAATTTCGGGAAAATGGCAAGATTTATGGAAGAAATGAAACTGAAAGTAACTTTTGTAAGTCCTAATCTATAAGAAAATGTCTTTAGTTGAATTTCGAAAATGGTCGAAAATGGGCAGAAATTTTATAAGAGGAATTTTTATATTGAGAATTTTTTACTTGCGGAAAAGGTGCCAAAAAATGCCTGAAATATTCTGGTATGTAGATTTCGTCACGCTGAATCCAAAAATATGGTGTATTTAAGGTCCCGAGTCAAAATTCGGGGTCTATACACATTTTTTTGAAAAAACCCAAAAACTGGCATATTTTACTAATTTGACCTGACCTGACCTAATCGAAAACGTCCGCTATAATTTTGTTAATCAATTCAAATGTCGCAATCAATTTTTTTTTTATTATTTCTAATTCATGTAAAAATTGTTATGGTTAAAATACACAAAATCTCTTGCCTTAAATCCAATATGGTTAATTTGGCCGCTGGCAATGTACTTCCCCGACCTGGAGACATCAATTGCCGAAATAGTATTTGTGTGTCCGCTAAGAAACACCTGCGCCTTGGTGCTCCAGTTCTGGATGGTCACTTTGTTGCCCAGTGGATAAATTACATGTTTTTCGTCAGGATGAATAACGAATCCCTTAATTGTTGTTCCTGAAATTTGGTATTTTCAAAGCGTTTCACTGCAATTTTAACGTACCATCAAATCCTATGATTCCCTTTATTTCCAAAAAATTTACATTTCCGTCTAAAATGTCTTCTAAATCTCCGTCAGCCATTGTCAAATTAGGTTTTCGAATCGGGGTTTATGAATGTTTTGACAGAAAACGACTGAAAATAATCGAAATGTGACAAAGCGTTGTTATGGCGAGAAGTTTGAGTGTTTGGTCAATGCAGCTGTTATCATTTGATTAATTGTTAGGGGTTTGTAAAGTGAGGGTGGAGGGTTTATGAATGGTCTGCAACCCACTATACATTTATGAATTTATAATTGGCGCTTTGATCAGCGCCATCTATCCACAGCATAATCGTGCGTGTTGACATTTGACACACCGCGCATGCGCCATGTTTAAAATTTCAATCCGTAACAATCGTAATCGTTGGTAACCGTTGAGTTCTTAAATTTTTAATTTATTTTTTCCTTGTGTTCGTGTTATAAACGTGCTAGCCCCCATTCCGGTAATGACCGCGCTAAAGGAAAACGTACTCCAAGTAAGTTTTTCCCCCTAACCTCACTTTTGTAAACTTTTTCAACTTCCAGCAACTCCAAAAACGTTTGGAGTATTGCTACGAATCGAATAGGAGAGCCACGTTCAAAAAGTGGCCATTCAAAGACACCAAGAAATGCAATGCCTCAAAAGTAAATCCGACGACTTTTATAAATCGAAAGTTGTATAAATCGGTGTTTTCCAGCTGGCGGAGGCAGGTTTCATTTTTACAGGAACCCGCGTGGACCCCGACTCCGTGACGTGTTTTTTCTGCAACAAGTCGCTGGATTGTTGGGACGAAAACGACGACCCTTGGTTCGAACACCAGAAACACGCCCCGACTTGCGCCTTCGCGAAAATGGACAAGCCAGAGGAGGCTTTCACGGTGACTGAATTCACGGAGATTAGAAACCAGTTTATAGAGAAGTTTTTAAAGACCGAACTGAAAAAAAGCATTGATCAAGTGAATGAACATTTTGATGACTTGGTGCACCTGATAAGCGTCATGAAATAAATCTGTAATCACTTGTTTGTTATCTTATCAACTTCCGATCTACGGAGAAAATTTATTATCTGTATTGTCTTAGCTGTAGTTTTACGTTTTTAAAATAAGTCGTCACGATGGAGAAAGCGGCCGTTGTTTTGATTTTTGCGTCCTTGTGTGGTTTTGGGGCGGCTTTGCAGTGTTATACGTGTTCGGTTGGGGAGCAGGATGCGGATAGAACGTGTGTTGATAACCCCGCGAACACCTCCATGACGAATTGCAATAAAAAGTATTGTACTATTATCAGACAAGAGTATTTGGTGAGTAATAGGGTTAGAGTGGCAGGTGTTGATTGAAGTTTGTAGGACCCCAAAGACAAAGTTGCTTCAATGTACAGAGGGTGTGAAGATAAACCACTTCATATGAATGAAATTATAGAAGATGAATCGTACAGGTTTTACTATGTGGCGTGCCAGGAAACTCTGTGTAATGGGGGTAGTGGGAAAGCTGGGAGCGGCGACTCTGATACAAGTCTGGGAGACAAATCAACTTTAATAATACCAGGAGTTGGAAGTGGGAGTCACATTCAAGTATCAGTTTCTGTAGTTTTAACCCTTTTGATAATTTCTCTATTTATTTAATATTTAATAACGATAATTATAATAATAATGATTTGTTTTCAAGTGGACAGTGTCCACATAAAACCAAACATTTAACAAATAAACTAAGTAAGGGAAACTGCTATAATTGCAATTAATCTATGATTCATATTTTCCTTTTTTATTATACGTAGTCGTCCTTTCCCAACAAGAAACCTAAAACATGTTTAAAATGGTAAATTTGTATTGGGAAATATCGATTTTGCAATTAAGCTCCGCCCCTCGGTCTGATAACGAATGAAAAATTCTTCGCGATTGAGATCGAGACGGATGGGTGGGGCTTATTTTTGGATCTCTTTTTTACTTAATACATATAGTTTTCTTTGAACAAAAATAGGATTTTGCAGTTAAGCTCCGCCCCCTCTTGCTTACGACGAACAATGAAAAATCGTCACGACAGAGACAGGGCGGGTGGGTGGGGCTTATTTTTTTATTTATTTATTTTTTTCTCTTAATATACATACTCTTCACAACCAGAGACTGAACACATGTTTAAAATCTTAATTTTTTCTAGACAATCCAACTCGAAAATTCTTAACCAATACAATGGCAGAATTGTTTGAAATTTGTCCAATGGCATTCACCGAAAAATTTTTTCAGTGAAAAAACATTCTTCTGTCAGGCAACAACACTGTTTTTCAGCGAAATAAATTATGTCAAATTAATTTGTCAAACTTGTCAAATGAACTTTAATAAAAAAAAAACAATAATACAAATTACTTTTCTGTTGGCGTTAAAGGCATAATCTTCCAAAATACTGACCACCTCGTTCATTTCGACTGCTTTATTTAGAGGAAACTTGCGTATTTCACAAAATTCTGTAAACTGCTTCCAAATTGAATCGTGCGTTCTTGCAGTGTTTCGGCACTGACTTTCTTTCACTGCATTTCGAATTTCAAACACAGTCTTGTTATCAAATCTTGCTCCCATAATTAAGAAAATCAACCAGCAGCACACACAAAATTTGATGTTTAGAAATTTATTTACGTTTTGCCTTGTTATTTTGTTACTATTTAGACTAGGTAGGTATGGTTACTCAACTACTACGCTAACTATAAATTATGTGAATTATTGTCCGTAAAAAGTAAATAAAAATTTTCTCTTTGGATTGTCAAGCCGAATATAACTCGTGATCTGATTTTTTCTGCAAAATTTGTGTGAAAATTAACTCGTAGCTGTTGCTTTTGGAAAATCACACTCGTCTCCTTCGTCGACTCGTGTGATTTTCGTCGCAACAGCTACTCGGTAATTTGTGTCACAAATTTTGTCGGAAAAAATCAGACCACTTGTTATATTATATTTGACAAATATGAACAGGTAGAAAGCGTATTATTTTGCACATTTGGTGATCATGAGTGCCTTTTTTACTTGTTTTACTTTTTTTTCTGCCTATTTTGTTCTAAAATGTATATAATACATACATGATGTCGCAAAAAATTAAACAGAATAACATTTGAATGTTTGATTTTTCAATTTCCCGATTTTTAGATTTTCTAATTTTTCGAGTTGTCGATTTTGCTAGATATTTCAATATCTTGATCTTTAGATTATTCAAATTTCGATTTTCCGGGTTTTCGAATTTCCTATTTTTTCAGTTCTCTATTTTTCGACTTTCCCATTTTTTTGATTTTTCGTTTAAATTTTTGGTGTTTTCGATTTTTTCAGTTTTCAAATAGTTCAATTTCACGATTTCTCGACTTTTCAATATCTCGATTTTTAACATTTCGACTTTTCGATTTCTGCATTTTCAACTTCAATTTTTCGATTCTCCAATTTTTCCCATTCGATTTTACGACTTTCAAATTTTGATTTTTCGATTTTTCCTTGCTAAAATGTTTCGACTTTCCGATTTTTCAACGTCTCGATTTTTGGAATTTTGGATTCTTCGACCTTTCGATTTTTTATGTTTTCGATTTTGCAATTTTCAAATATTTTAACTTCTCGATTTTTTGAGTTCTCGATATCCCGATTTTTGATATATCGAATTTTCGGTTTTTACGATTTTTCGACTTAAATTTTTCAATTTCTCCATTTTTGTTTTCTATTTTCGATTTTTCGTTATTTCAGTTCTTCAACTTTTCGATTTTTCAATTTCTTAATTTTCTGAGTTTTCGAGTTTACTATTTTTTGATTTTTCGTTTCAACTTTTGGTGTTCTCGATTTTTCAATATTCAAATATGTAGTTCAATTTCTCGATTTTTCGTCCTTTTCGATATCTCGATTTTTGACATTTCAAGTTTTCGATATTTCGGTTTTTAGTTCTGGATTTTTTTATTTTTTCATTTCTTGATTTAGGACTTCGATTTTTCAATTTATCGATTTTACGACTTTGATTTCGACTTTTCGATATTTCAATTTCTTGATTTTTCTAATTTTCGATTCGAAGTTCCATGTTTGGATTTTTCAGGATCTCAGTGTTGGTGTTTTCTATTTTCGATTTTACAATTTTTAAATACATATTTGAATTTCTCGAATTTTTGGACTTTCCAATATTTCGATTTTTGAATTGTTCAACTTTTCGATTTCTTGTGTTCTTGATTTTGCAGTTTTCAAATATTTTAACTTCACGATTTTTCGACTTCTCGATATCTCGATTTTTGATGTATCGAATTTTCGATTTTTGGTGTTTTCTATTTTCGATTTTACATTTATCAAATATTTCAATTTTTTAATAGTTCGACTTTTGGATTTTCAATTTTTTCAATTACTCTATTTTACGACTTTTTGATTTCGCTTTTTTGACTTTCCGATATTCAGATTTTTGGATTTGTCGACTTCGATTTTTCGTTTTTTTCAATTCTTCGACTTTCCGATTTTTCAACTTTTCGATATCTTTATTTTCCGAGTTTTCTATTTGTCAAATTTTGAACTTCCGATTTTTCGACTTTATCATTTTTTTGATTTTTTGTTTCAACATTTGGTGTTTTTTCAGTTGTCAAATATTTCAATTTCTGGGTTTTTCGACTTTTCGATATTTCAATATCTCGATTTTTGTTTTTTTCGATTTTTCGTCTTAAATTTTTCACTGTCTGGATTTTTGATTCCGCTGTTTCGACTTTCCGATATTTCGATCCTTCGAATTTGGTTCCAATTTTTCCAGTTCTATATTTTTCGACTTTCGCGTTTTTTGATTTTTCGTTTCAACTGGTTTTCGATTTTTCAGTATTCAAAAAGATCAGTTGCCCGATTTTTCGACTTTTCGATATCTCGATTTTTGACATTTCAAATTCTTCATTTGATGATTTAGGACTTCGATTTTTCAATTTCTGGATTTTTTAATTTCTCGATTCTCCAATTTTTCGCATTCGATTTTGCGACTTTCAAATTTTGATTTTTCGTTATTTAAATTTTTCGACTTTCCGGTTTTTCAACATCGATTTTTGGAATTTTGGATTCTTCGACCTTTCGATTTTTGGTGTTTTCGATTTTTAATTTTCAAAATATTTTAACTTCTCAATTTCTCGATTTTTGTTTCCTATTTTCGATTTTACGGTTATCAAATATTTCGATTTTTCGACCTTTCGTTTTTTTTTCTCGATTCTCAAAATTTCACGACTTTTCAATTTTTGATTTCGCTTTTTGACTATATTTCCACTTTGATTTTTCGTTATTTCAGTTCTTTGACTTTTCAATTTTTCAATTTCATGATTTTTCAACTTTTCGATATTTTGATTTTTTAATTTTCAGTTCTTTTATTTTTACATTTTTTGATTTAGGGCTTCGATTTTTCAACTTATCGATTATATGACTTTCCGATATTTCAATTTTTGGATTTATTGACTTCGATTTTTCGTATTTCAATTCTTCGACTTTTCTATATCTCAATTTTCTGAGTTTTTAATTTTCAGTTTCTCGATTTTTCAAATTTTCGATTCGAAGTTTTTTCAATTTTTGGTGTTTTCGATTTTACAATTTTTAAATGCATATTTGAATTTTTAGATTTTTCGACTTTCCAATATTTCGATTTTTGAATTGTTCGACTTTTCGATTTTTGGATTTTCAGATTTTTCAATTTCTCGATTCTTTAAAATTTCCAACTTCCTGTTTATTCGACTTCTCAATATCTCGATTTTTGATATATCGAATTTTCGATTTTTGATTCGTTTTTTCAATCCTTCGACTTTTCGATTTTTCAAATTCTTGATTTTTCAACTTTTCAATATCTTGATTTTCTGAGTTTTCGAGTTTTCACTTTGTCGAATTTTCGATTTTTCCAGTTCTCGATTTTTGCACTTTGCCATTTATTTATTTTTCCTTTCAATTTTTGTGTATTCGATTTCTCAATTGTCAAATATTTCAATTTCTCGATTTTTCAACTTTTTGATATCTGGATTTTTGACATCTCAAGTTTCCGATATTTCTGTTTTTCAATTTTACAATTTTAATTAATATTTAAAATTCTTGATTTTTCCACTTTTCGATTTTTGAATTGTTTTGATTTCTGGGTTCCAATTTTTTCGATTGATTTTATGACTTCAGATACTGATTTTTCGTTTTTTTGGGCTTCTCGATATCTCGGTTTTTGATATATCGAATTTTCGATTTTTCGACTAGTTTGTCAATTTCTCGATTTTTTGTGTTTTCTATTTTCGATGTTATAATTATCAAATATTTCAATGTCTCGACTTTTCGATATTTGGTTTGTCGATTTTTGGATTTTTTGGATTTTTCAATTTCTCGGTTCTTCAAAGTTTCCATTTTTTGAGTTTTCGTTTCAATTTTTGCTGTTTTCGATTTTTCGACTCTCAAATATTTCAATCTTACTATGACTTCTCGATTTTTGACATTTCAACTTTTCTGTGTTTCGGTTTTTCAGTTTCTCATTTTTGGTGTTCTCTATTTTCGATTTTACAATTTCTAAATACATATTTGCATTTCTCGATTTTTCGACTTTCCAATATTTCGATTTTTGGATTTTCAGATTTTTCAATTTCTCGATTCTCCAAATTTTCAATCTCTCTGTTTTACGACTTTTTGATTTCGCTTTTTGACTTTCCGATATTTTGATTTCTGGATTTGGCGACTTCAATTTTTCGTTTTTTCAATCTTTCGAATTTCCGATTTTTCAGTTTCTTGATTTTCAACTTTTCAATATATCGATTTTCAGAGTTTTCTTTTTGTCGAATTTTCAAGTTCCGATTTTTCGACTACCATTTTTTTAATTTTTTGTTTCAATTTTTGGTGTTTTCGATTTTTCAGTTGTCAAATATTTCAATTACTGGATTTTTCGATATCTCGATTCTTTTTTTTCATTTCTTGATTTATGACTTCGATTTTTCAATTTCTGGATTTTTGGTGTTTTCTATTTTCGATTTCAAAATTTTCAAGTATGTATTTGAATTTCTTGCTTTTTCGACTTTTCAATGTTTCAGTTTTTGAATTGTTCGACATTCCGATTCTCCAATTTTTTCCATTAGGTTTTACAACTTTTCAAATTTTGATTTCTCGATTTTTCAATACATCGATTTTTGTAATTTTGGATTCTTCGACCTTTTTGATTTTTGGTGTTTTCGATTTTGCAGTTTTCAAATATTTTAACTTCACGATTTTTTGACTTCTCGATATCTCGATTTTTCGATTTGTTGTTTTTTTTCGATTTTTCAAATGCTTGATTTTCCAACTTTTCAACATCTTGATTTTCTGAGTTTTCGAGTTTTCAGTTTGTCGAATTTTCGATTCGAAGTTCCGATTTTTCAGTTCTCGACTTTTGGACTTTGCTATTTTTTGATTTCGTTTCAATTTTTGGTGTTTTCAATTTCTCAATTGTCAAAAATTTCAATTTCTCGATTTTTCAAGTTTTCAATATCTCGATTTTTGACGTTTCAAGTTTTCGATATTTCGGTTTTTTGATTTTTACAATTTTCACATATTTAAATTTCTTGATTTTTCTACTTTTCGATTTTTGAATTGTTTGATTTTTTGATTTCTGGATTCCAATTTTTTCGATTGATTTTATGACTTCAGATATTGATTTCTCGTTTTTTTGGACTTCTCGATATTTTGGTTTTTTTATATGTATATGAAATTTTCGATTTTTCGACCAGTTGTCAATTTCTCGATTTTTTTGTTTCCTATTTTCGATTTTATAATTATCAAATATGTATTTCAATGTTTCGACTTTTAGATATTTGGATTGTTCGACTTTTCAATTTCTTGGTTCTCCAAATTTTCCATTTTTTGATTTTTCGCTTCAATTTTTGGTGTTTTCGATTTTTTGACTTCAATTATTCAATTTCTCGATTTTTCTACTTTTCGATATTTGTATTGTTCGACTTTTCAATTTTTCAATTTCTCGATTCTCCAAATTTTCCATTTCTCGATTTTACTACTTTTCGATTTTTCAATTTCTCGTTTTTTCGATTCCTTGACTTTTCAGCTTTTCGATTTTCCAATTTCGCGATTTTTCGAATATTCGACTTTTCGATTTTATAATTATATTGATTTCTTGAATTTTCGTCTTTTCGATATTTGTATTGTGCGACTTTTCCATTTTTGGATTTTTCAATTTCTCAATTCTTCTAATTTTTCATTTCTCGATATTGCGACTTTCCAATTTTTGATTTCGCATTTTCGACTTTACGATATTTCCATTTTTGGATTTGTCGACTTTGATGTTTCGTTTTTTCAATTCTTTGAGTTTCCGGTTTTTCGATTTTTCAATTTTTCGTTTTTTCGATTTTTTGACTTTTCAGCTTCTCGATTTTTCAATTTTTCAAATTGTCGATTTTGCTAGAAATTTCAATTTCTTGACTTTTAGATTATACAAATTTCGATTTTCTTATTTTTTATTTCGCTTTTTCGAGTTTCCGATTTTTCAATTTCTCGTTTTTTCGATTATTTGACTTTCCAGCTTTTCGATTTTCCAATTTCTCGATTTTTAGATAATTCAAATTTCGAATTTCTAGGTTTTCAAATTTTCAATTTCTCGATTTTTCGATTTTATCATTTTTTGGTGTTTCATTATTTCTTTTTTTCAGTTTTCGATTTTTTTATTTTTCCATTTCGTGATTCAGGACTTCGATTTCTGGATTTTTCAACTCCAATTTTTCAATTTCTTGATTTTCCAATTTTTTTGGTTCGATTTTACGACTTCAAATTTTCATTTCTCGATTTTTCGACTTTTCGTTATTTCAATTTTTTGGCTTTCCGATTTTTCAATAACTCGATTTTTGGAATTTTGGGTTCTTCAACGCTTCGATTTTGCAATTTTCAAATATGTATTTTAACTTCTTGTTTTGTCGACTTTTCGATATCTCGATTTTTTTTTCCTAAATTTTTCAATTTCTCGATTTTTGGTTTTTCTGTTTTCGACTTTCCAATTTTCAAATATTTGAATTTCCCGATTTTTCAACTTTTATATATTTCGATTTTTGAATTGTTCGACTTTTCGATATCTGGATTTTTCAATTTCACGATTCTCCAATTTTTTTCGATTCGGTTTAACTACTTTTCGAATTTTGCTTTCTTGATTTTTCGACTTTCTGATTTTTCAGTTTTTTAATTTTTCAACTTTTCGATATCTGGATTTTCTGAGTTTTTAAATTTTCAATTTCTCGATTTTTCAATCCGAAGTTCCATGTTTGGATTTTTTGACTTTTCAGTTTGTGGTATTTTTGATTTTTAAGACCATTAACAACAAAACATTGCGTTTATTTTTGGAGAAAAAAAAAACTGCAAAAACAATAAAAAATAAAATTTACGTGGAGGGAAGTATTGTGTGATTGTATAGAAACTTAAGATTGGGAATTTATTTAGTTAATTTACTGTGGTGACCGAATTTGAATTAAAATTTCGCTTCGAAAAAAAATTAACAGCGGCGCGGAATCACATTTGAATAATTAGAATAAAAAAAAGTTAAACATAGGCAACCATGTGCACGTTAGCGCTTTTGGGTAGTGTGTAGTTCTGCTTGAAATTTTATTTAATCGTAACGACGACGACGCCAGTTTTCCCCAACACGCGCAGCTAATTCTTGCGGCTTTCCAATCGGAAAAAGGCGCATTTTTGACCGACGCTAACACGTGTAGATTTGATTCATTGTTTGGAAATTCATAGTTCATGTTAGGAGTTTAATCGTTAACTAGTTCTAACACAATTTAACAATCAGGAATTTGCTTAGATAAATACTGCTAGGAGATTTAATGAAACTTGATTAGTCAGGACTCGTTCGATTTTGTTTGTCTAATTACGAATAACTTTTCTGGGTGCTAACACTTTCGTGTTACATTATTAACACTTATTAATTCTTCACACAAGATTGCTAATAGTTCATTTACGGCAGTTAAATTTTCCTAACGTTGCCCCACTGTGGAAAAAGACCGTAGAAAAGTGCAGTATGGTGAATTTAAATGTTGTTTATTGCTCTTTTGAAACTTTAGCACTTGTTCAGTCGTAGTTTAATATTAGTCATAGAAATTGAACATTTAAAAGGAATCGAGGTTAAATAACACAGAAACACGTGTTGGAAGCTGAGTGCGCGGTTCCTAGTCGAGCTGGCGGGATTTATCGTGCCACCGTCCTGGGTAGGAGAATGAAATTGACATTTTATTAATATAACTTTATTGAAACATGGCTTAAACATCAAAACTTTCAAAAATATAGCAGTAAATATTTAATCCTTGTATTTAAAATCAACTTTTAGCAAATACTTGACGTTGACCTGCGCCACATCGTATACAATATATTCATTATACAGCAAAGCTGAACCCCTGTTATTGGCAGTCACTCCTTTACCAAGAGGCACTTCAATCCCGTTGAGACTTTTCGCCGCACTCGGATCTGGTTCAGTCCGCCCCAAAGCTTTAGTACTGTGCTTACCGTTGGGTAACTTCTCTACATACTCAGCTTGGGTTCTTTCATACATCTGTGAAACCAAAGTCACAATATGACGTCACAACCACGCCCCCAATACTTACATTTCCTAAGGCCACATCGCACAGCAGTAACAAACCAGTAGGATTGGTGGGTCCAGTGCAGCAATAATTCGCCGACTTCGACACCATGTCCGCAAAATAAATACCCTTCCCGAACATATAACCCGTGACGGGTGCCCCCGGGGGCGCAATGCGCAGCCCCTGGGCCAAAATCCCCGCAAAGTTGGTAGTTCGAGAACCGTACCACAACAACTTGTGGTTGTGGAGCTTCTCGAACGGTTTGAACCGTTCGTCTTCGCCTTGACGTTTGACCGTGAAGACGTCTTTAATTTCAAGAGTGTAGCTACTCTGGATATCGGCGTGGGTGTTCTTGACGTAGTCTTGAATGAGACTGAACTCCTCGGCCTCTTTATCCAACACCTCGATTTCGGTATTGAGCTGCTTGTAGTAGCCGTCGACGTTTTTCTCCGAACCGCTGGACTTCATCAGGTTGTAGGCGATTTCGAACTCCAACAAGCTGTCCAGCATGTCGATTTTTTGCTATCAACAAACAAGTCACTAGAGAGACAAGTTGTAACTTTAAACTCACCTTAATAACTTCTGTGTCGCGTAATACCGGAGGATCATTAGTACCAAACGAGTGCGGTATAAAAGTATAGAACCTATTTGTGGCATCAATGATTCTATTTTCAGCCCCATTGTTATCAACAAGCTGCTGCAGCTCAGTCAAAACGCTATAAGCATTCTGGATTTGCTTCTTGCTCAACTTCCCCAACGGCATTTTCTCCGTATCGAGTTCAAACTCCAACATGACCTTCTGCATGGCGTTCACATCAAAAATCAAGCTCATCAAATTCTGCACAGGAACTGGTAAGAAAGACGTCGAGTCGATCACGTCCAACGACTTCGCCTGCTCGTCGTCGCCGTAGTCCACGTCGACGGGATTGTACAGGCCTGGGACCTTCTGGAAGTTGTGGTGGTCTTCCCACTTATTCCCGGTTTTCTGTTCATACAGCTGACAGAACGCTGTTTTTGCGTCATGCAGCGAGTGGAAGTTCTTTAGTTTGTTGCCGCCGATGGTGGTGCCGATGCACCCCCACGACCTGAACACCCAGAATTTTTGCTCCCGGTCGGATTGCAGGAGTTGTAGTTTGTAGTAGCTGTTTTTTTTGGATTGGATGTCGGTTTTGCTCAGCACGGCTGTGTATTTTTCGGAGTTGTAGGTGTAGACGTGGGCTTCGTGTTCGAGGCCGGAGTCTGGGTCGACGGCGGTTCCTCCTTTGTTGGTCAGTTTTACCTTGCTGGGCATGGAGCTGCTGCCGGATTTGCTGGTAGAACGCTCGGGAAGTAGGCGGGTTTTTGGCTGGAAAAATCATACACCGGGTGTCTTAAATTTTGTTTTGTCATGCTTAAGTTTGGTGACAATTGGTTTCGAAATATTCGGTTTTGAAGTATTCTTCTCTTAAATAATTCAAAATACGCTATTTTGCGATTCTGGAGAAATGGTATGAATTTTTGAGGTTGAAATCAAATCAAATCGACGACCTCATTTGGAAAAAAATTGTCTTTATGGTGGCGCGTCAAGATTTTCGAAATATTCAATCTCGAAGTAAAATTTTTGGAAAAATTCTATTCATTTGCACGATTTTGGAAAAAAACTAGGAATTTTCAAAGAAATGACGAATGATAATATTTTCATAAGCTCGAAATCTACAGAAAAATCTCGTTCGGTGATTTTCGAAGATGCTCAAAAAAGTAAAAAATTTCAATGAAAAGTTGAAATCACGCATATCTATAGATCTTGAGGACGTGAATCGAAAAATATAGGGTGTTGATGATCCTGGAACAAGATTTTTTAAATATTCGGTTTGAAAATTAAATTTTTGGAAACTTTAAAAAAATTGCCGTATTTCATTTTCACGATTCTGGAAAAATTGGTCTAAAGGGTTTAGACAGTACTTCCCTCGCTGTCGGAAACTTGACGACTGCATGCCTATTGTGTTTTTTTTTTCTCATTACATTTTTGTAGTGGGAATTTAAAAAAAATTGTGATGACGTCATCAACATTTTTGCAAGGACACGTATATCAGTTGGGATAGATGTAGTGTAATACTAAGAATAAAATTATTGTATTCCCAAATTTTCGGGAAAATGAATTGGGTCGTTTTGAATATTGATTTGTTATAATCAATAAAATGACGAAACAATTTACTCACGTATACGGCGCCGGTGTGTAATATGTAGAGAGCGGATTTCTGTCGGGCTGGGCAAGGCCAAACTCGATACGGCTGGTACGGGATGCGAATTCATTGCGGTTGCGGACTGCACTTCGTTTATTTGAGATTAGAATAACGCTGTTTCGTTGCACTCTGCTGTTAATTCCCGTTCTCATTTACTTAGCCGTTTGATTAATAAATCGTTAATTATATTTATGGAATTAGTACTGATTAAATTCAGTGATTATCTATCACCCGCTACTGAGTCCCGGCGATCCAGCGCGTCCCCACCTATAATCGTGACGTAGCCCGACAAAAATCCGCTGTCTAGTAATATGAAAGGCAACTGAAAATCGTTTATGTATAAACATTCTTAATTTAAGATGACAAGCGTAACAGCATACGTGAGAGTCAAACAGAGAAACTGTAAACAAAACGACCATCGGTTTTATTGCTTCGACTTCCGCTTATTATATAAAACATTGGGTTTTATTTTAATTCTTGACGGTGAAATTCACAATTGGTTGATTATAAACATGTCTATTTCACATTCGCGGAACCAAGTGAGCGCATAAAACAAATGCAGGTCTGTAATGTTAAAGTCCATGTAAATAAGCGTGCTACCCTTATGTTTCAACCGAGTTTTTCCTTTAACAAATTTTGTGTCTACCAAATTGGGTTGGTTGGGGTGTAATACTAATAATAAGTGTTGCCTTTAATTTAATCAATAAAATAAATTGACTTCATTAATTTTTTTGAACCACCTCTTAAGAAAATCTAAAAAATATGAATGGAATGATAAATCACAAGTACAAACTCATCATATTTTTTGCATTTTAGATAGGATTTATTTAGCAAAATTTAAGGGTGACGTCATCAATTTTTTTAGGAGGGATGAACAAATACATTTTGAACAAAAGTTTACCATGCTTATGATAACTTTAAAATATTCCCAAGATTTCAAAGCATTCGGTTTTGTAATTCCTGATTAAATCGATAAAATAAATTCACGCCTTCATTAATTTTTTTGAGTCACCCTGCATATGCAAATCCTAAAATATGAATGGAATGATAAATCACAAGTACAGACTCATCATATTTTGTACATTTTAGATACGATTTATTCGGCAAACTTTTGAGCTGACGTCATCAGTTTTTTGTAGAAGATAACCAAATATATTTTGACTAAAAATTTATTATGCTCTATAACCTTAAAACATCTGCAAGATTTCAAAGCATTCGGTTTTGTAGTTCCTGATTAAATCAATAAAATAAATTTACGCATTCATTAATTTTTTTGTCACCCTGTATATGCAAATCGAAAAAATTTGAATGGAATGATAAATCACAAGAAGAGACTCAGCATATTTTGTACATTTTAGATAGGATTTATTCAGCAAAATTTTGTGGTGACGTCATAAATTTTTTAGGGGGGACGACCAAATACATTTTGATCAAAAATTTACCATGCTTATGATAATTTTAAAATATCTTCAAGATTTCGAAGCATTCGGTTTTGTAGTTCCTGAGTAAATCAATAAAATAAATTTACGCTTTCATTTATTTTCTTGAATGACCCTGTATATGCAAATCCAAAAAATATGAATGGAATGATAGATCACAAGTACAGACTCATCATATTTTGTACATTTTAGATATGATTTATTCGGCAAACTTTCGAGCTGACGTCATCAAGTTTTTGGAGGGGATAAGCAAATATATTTTGACTAAACATTTATTATGCTCTTTATGACCTTAAAACATCTGCAAGATTTCAGAGCATTCGGTTTTGTAGTTCCTGATTAAATCAATAAAATATATTTATGCATTCATTATTTTTTTTGAGTCACCCTGTATATGCAAATCCAAAAAATATGAATGGAGTGATAAATGACAAGTACAGGCTCATCATATTTTTACAGTTTGGATAGGATTTATTCGGCAAACTTTCGAGCTGACGTCATCAATTTTTTGGAGGGGATAAGCAAATACATTTTGACTAAACATTTATTATGCTCTTTATAACCTTAAAACATCTGCAAGATTTCAAAGCATTCGGTGTTGTAGTTTCTGAGTAAATCAGTAAAATAAATTTACGCATTCATTAATTTTTTTGAGTCACCCTGTATATGCAAATCCAAAAAATATGAATGGAGTGATAGATCACAAGTACAGACTCATCATATTTTGTACATTTTAGATATGATTTATTCCACAAACTTTTGAGCTGACGTCATCAAGTTTTTGGAGGGGATAAGCAAATATTTTTTGACTACAGATTTATGATGCTCTTTATAGCCTTAAAACATCTGCAACATTTCAAAGCATTCTGGTTAGCAGATTAAAAATTAAATTTCAAAATGTTGTTTTATAATTTTGATTTTTTTTCCAAAAATCTGGACGTTTCGGGTGAAAAGTCGATTCAGAGTTGTAAACTACATGTGTAGGACTATGTTATTTTATACAATTGAAAACCCATTTACTATGTACAATTTTGAAGTGACGTCATCGCATTAGTGGTGGGGATGATCAGACAAATTTTGGTTAGCGTTTTACCATCTACATGATATTCTTAATATAAGTACAAAATTTCACAACAATCGGTCGAGTACTTTCGGAGATTATCTGTCTAATAAAAATCCGGGACGGCAGACGGACAGACGGACAGACGGACAGACGGACGGACAGACGGACGGACAGACGGACGGACAGACGGACGGACAGACGGACGGACAGACGGACGGACAGACGGACAGACAGACGGAAATGGGAGACCTATTTCTTCGTCTTCTAGGGGTCATGAAAGATCGAGAAAACGTAAAAGTAGAGAGTCGGCCGACGGACTCGATTACAATACTTCCTTTGCTTACGCTCGGGAAGTAAAAATATAGGGTGTTATGATCCTGACCAAGATTTTTGAAATATTCGGTTTGAAAGTCAAATTTTTGGAAAAATTATAAAAATTGCCGTATTTCATTTGGACGTATCTGAGAAAAACTAGGAATTTTCAAAGAAATGAAGCCGATGTTAATTTTAAAAGGTCGAAATCTACAAAAAAATCTCGTTCGGTAATTTTCGAAGATCCTCAACAAAGTCAAAAATTTCAATGAAGAGTTGAACTTTTGAAAGTTGCTTAAAAATTTTGATGAACTGATGTGGAAAAGTAAAAATGTGTGTTTATCGTCGTTGATTAAGAGATTCGAAATTTTTGGTTGAAATTTCTTGAAAATTGTAAAAATTGACTCCTTTTATTTTGGAGATTCTGGTAAGAATGGGAATTTTCTTAAATGTTCTAAAAAATCTTGTTAAGTAATTTGTGAAGATGCCCGAAAAGTCAAAAATTTCATTGAAAAATTGAGCTTTGGACAAGTTGCCCAAAAATCCACAAAAAAAAACTGGATATAGATTTTGGCTTGGCGAACTGAATCAAAAAACATAGCGTGTTGATGATTTCGGATCAAGATTTTTGAAATATTCGGTTTGAAAGTAAAATGTTTTCAAAATTATAAAAACTGACACATTATTTCGGAAATTTTGAGAAAGGTTAGAAATTTCCAAAGAAACGAAGTCGAAATCTACAAAAAAATCTCGTTGGGCAAAAGTCAAAAATTTCACTGGAACTTTTGCAAAAGTTTCTAAAAATCACAGAAAATCTCAATGAGATGATGTGAAAAAATAAAATTTTAATTTAATTTATAGTGTTTATGGTCACGGATTAAGATGTTGGAAATATTTGGTTGAAAGTTAAAATTGTTTGAAAATTTAGAAAATTGACACACTTTATTTTGGAAATTCTGGAAAGTGTGAGAATTTTCAAAGAAATGAAGCCGACAATAACTTAATGAAGTCAAAATTTACGAAAAAAAATTCGTTTGGTAATTTTCGAAGATGCTCACCAAAAGTCCAAAACTCAACAAAAGTCAAAAATTTCTATGAAAAGTTGACCTTTTGAAAAAAAAAGCCAAAAAATTCACAAAAAAATCACGAATATGAGCTGAATCGAAAAATAGAGGGTTTTGATGATGACTAACATTTTTGAAATATTCGGTTTGAATGTCAATTTTTTGGAAAAATTCTAAAAATTGCCATATTTCATTTTCACGAATGTGAGAAAAAACTAGTAATTTTCAAAAAAATGGAGCCAATAAAATTTGATGAGGTCGAAATTTACAAAAAAATCTTGTTGGGTATTTTTCGAAAACGCTAAAAAAAAACTCAAAAAGTTCAATGAAAAGTTGAGCTTTTGGAAAAATCGCTTAAAAATTCACAAAAAAAATCATGGAGATAGATCTTGACAAGCTGAATCGAAAAATATAGGGCGTTGATTATCTCGGACCAAGATTTTTGAAATATTCGGTTTGAAAGTCAAATTTTTGGAAAAATTGCCATATTTCATTTGGACGAATCTGAGAAAAAACTAGGAGTTTTCAAAGAAATGAAGCCGATAATAATTTCATGAGGTCACAATCTAAAAAAAAAAATCTCGCTCGGTAATTTAACAAAAAAACTCTAAAATTTTAAAGAAAAATTGGGTTTTTGAAAAAATTGTCTAAACGCAAAAACGTATATGTATAGATCTTGACGAGCTGAATCGAAAAATATCGAATCTTGATGATCCCGCTCCAAGATTTTTTTAAATATTCGGTTTGAAATTTAAATTTTTGGAAAAATTCTAAAAATTGCCATATTTTGTTTTCACGAATCTGAGAAAAAAACTCGGAATTTTCAAATAAATCAAGCCGAAAATAATTTGATGAGGTCGAAATCTACAAAAAAAATGTCGTTCGGTAATTTTAGAAAATGCTAAAAAAAGTCAAAAATTTCATTAATAAGTTAATCTTTTGGAAAAATTGCCTAAAAAATGACAAAAAAAAACACGCGGATATAGATCTTAACAAGTTGGATCGAAAAATACATATAGGGTGTAGCAGATCCCGGACCACGATTTTTGAAAATTCACGTTGAAACTCAAATTTTCAAATTTTGGGGACAAATTCTAAAAATTGCCATATTGCATTTTCTTCAAAAAAAAACTAGGAATTTTCAAAAAAACGAAGTTAATAAAAACACCTTCATGGGGTCTAACTACAAAAAAATCTCGTTAAGCAATTTTCCAAAATGCCCAAGTCAAAAATGTCAATGAAAAGTTGAGCTTTTGGAAGTTGGTTAAAAATCCACAAAAAAATCACGGATATAGATCTCGATAAGCTGATGTGAAAAAGTAAAAATGTGTTTTTTGGTCGCGCATCAAGATTTTCGAAATATTTTGTTGAAAGTCAAATTTCTTGAAAATTCTAAAAATTGCCGCATTTTATTTTCGAGATTCTGGTAAGAATGGGAATTGTCGAAGAAATGAAACCGAAAATTACTTCGGAAGTTCGAAATATATAAAAAAATTCGTTAGGTAATTTTCGAAGATGCTCGAAGTCAAAAATTTCATTGAAAAATCGAGCTTTTGGAATAGTTGCCTAAAAGTCCACAAAAAAAAACGAGCTGAAACAAAAAACATGATTTCGGCCCAAGATTTTTCAAATAAATCAAATATTTTGAAAATTCTAAAAGTTGTCATATTATTTTGGGGAAAAACCAAGCATTTTGGAAAAAATGTACCCAAAAAATAATTTCATGAAATCAAAATTTACGAAAAATTTCGCTGAGTAATTTTCTAAGATGTTCGAAAAGTCAAAAATTTCATTTAAAAGTTTCGGAAAAGTTGCCTAAAAATCCACAAAAAATCACGGATGTAGATCTCGATAAGCTGATGTGAAAAAGTAAAAATGTGTGTTTATAGTCGCGAATTAAGTTTTTCGAAATATTTGGTTAAAAGTCAATTTTTTTGCAAATTCTAAAAATTGACACATTTTATTTTGGATTCTTGTAAGTGAGAATTTTTGAAGAGATGAAGCCACTTTATAACTACAAGCGAAACTGCTCGAAAAAAGTCAAACATTTCACTGAAAAATTGAGTTTTTAGAAAAATTGCCGAAAAATCCACAAAAAATCACGGATGATCAGCTGATTTGAAAAAAATTCGGTGTTGATCATTGAGGTTCAAGATTTTCAAAATATTCGGTTTGAAAGTAATTTTTTTGAAAATTCTAAAAACTGACACAGTTTATTTTGCTCTGGAAAAATATTAGGAATTTTCGAAGGAATGAAGCCGAGTATAACTTGAGGTCGAAACTTACACAAAAAAAATTGTAAGGTAAGTTTTGAAGATGTTTGAAGAAAGTAAAAAATTTCATAAGAGAGCAATCGATCTTTTTGGAAAAGTAGCTTGGAATTCCACAAAAATTGACGGATATTGATTTCGACGAGCTGATGTGGAGAAAAACCTCTTTAGGGCCGTGGGTTAAGATTTTCGAAATATTGGGCTGAAAGTTAAATTTCTTGAAAATTCTAAAAGTTGACACATTTTCTTTTGGAGATTCTGGAAAGAGTAAAAATTTTCGAAGAAATGAAGCCGATAATTTTATGAGGTCGAAATGAACAAAAAAAAATCGTTTGGTAATTTTCGAAAATATTCAAAAAGGTCAAAAATTTCAATGAAAAGTTGAACTTTTGCAAAAATCGTCTAAATGTGTTTACGGTCACGGATTAAGTTTTTCGAAAAACTCGGTTGAAAGTTGAAATTGTTATGAAAATTAAAAAAAATGACACATTTTATTTTGGAAATTTTGGGAAGTGTGGGAATTTTCGAAGAAATGAAGCCGAAAATAACTTCGGGAACCGAAATCTACAAAAAAAATCTCGTTTGGTAATTTTCGAAAAAGTGAAAAATTTCATTGAAAAATTGCCTAAAATTCCACAAAAAAATCACGAATGTACATCTTGACGACCTGAATAGAAAAGCTTTGCATACTGATGATCCAGAACCAAGACTTTTGAAATATTCGGTTTGAAAGTAAAATATTTTGAAAATACGAAAAATTTCCACAATGAGGTCGAAATCTGCAAAAGAAATCTCGAATTGAAAAAATGAGCTTTTGGAAAAACCGTCTTAAAATTTCGCCAAAAAATCTAGGAGATCGATTTCAACTAGATAAAAATAAACAAAGTAGCACACAAAAAAAAACTTTAATTTGACTATACTCACATCTGAACCCCAATCACAAATCGACTTCGCGACCACCAACTCCGGAATTTTCCCGACGTGCTGCGGCGCTTCATCCACGAACTCCTTCGGAACGACATGAACTTGATTAGCCTGAACAGTCTGCATCCGACGCCCCATTTTTTCAACGTCGGCTTCCGACGCAAACACCGCCATCACCGTACCACTGATCTTAGTGGTCACTTTACCCCCCAAGTTAGCGATCTGCTTCTTCAACTCCTCTTTAGAGCGCTTGTGTTGGCCCAAAATCACGAACTCCATGTTGTAGAGCGCCGGCACTTGCCTAGCCACTTTTGGCCTCAAAAAAAAATGTTCGCTTTTCAATTTTTTTTCAGGAACATCCTCTTGCTTGATTGGTCTACAAACTCAAGTCAAAACACCAAAAACACAACTGCGTGACTATTTACGGCAATTCTTTCTTAGCTTCCGCCTGGTCAGCTTCATCCAGTAATTCAAATCCAGGCAAGGCCTCCGCGGACTCAAAATAACCCAGTTCTGACCGCAAATTCGCAAAACAGGAAAGATGGTGCCACATGTCTTGGGCCCCATACTTCAGGCTTACTTCAGTCTCGAAATCTTTTTTTGAAATCTTCACCTACAAAACTCGTTGTACAAATCAACGTAACTGCGCAATTTTTGTTACCTCATCTTTTAGTATTTTCTGCTCACACCCCTTACACATGGTCCTACGGTCTTTGGCTTTCTCGATTTTGAAGTCTTCAAGGGCCGCCTTTTTCGCCGCAACCGCAGTGGCGTCTCGTTTTTTACCCTTGACTTTGGTGTCTGGTAATATTACAGCCGCCCCTCCTGAGCCTGTGAAATTTATTGTAGGTTATGTGGACACAGTAAGGGGTAAGTACCTATTTTGTCTTTGATTTTTGTTTGGTCTTCTAGTCGCAGGTCTTCAAAGTGCTGTATGTCGTCGACGGATTTGGGGCGCTGTTTCCTGAAGAAACACTCGTAGTCGTACCAGTTAGAGGTTTTGCCGTCGAAGGTCGACGCCTGAAATATAAATAAATAAAAATTGGTCTAAAGAGTTTAGACAGTACTTCACTCGCTGTCGGAAACGTGACAACTGCATGCGTATTATGTTTTTTTCGCAGTAGATTTCAAAGCATTCGGTTTTGAAGTTCCTGAGTAAATCAATAAAATAAATTTACACATGCATTTTTTTTTGAGTCACCCAGTATATGCAAATGCAAAAAATATGAATGGGATGATAAATTACAAGTACAGACTCATCATATTTTGTACATTCTAGATAGGATTTATTCGCCAAACTTTTGAGTTGACGTCATCAGTTTTTTGGAGAAGATAACCAAATATATTTTGACTAAAAATATATTATGCTCTTTATAACCTTAAAACATCTGCAAGATTTCAAAATATTCGGTTCTGTAGTTCCTGATTAAATCAATAAAAAAATTGGTCTAAAGAGTTTAGACAGTACTTCCCTCGCTGTCGGAAACTTGACGACTGCATGCCTATTGTGTTTTTTTTTCTCATTACATTTTTGTAGTGGGAATTTAAAAAAAAATTGTGATGACGTCATCAACATTTTTGCAAGGACACGTATATCAGTTGGGATAGATGTAGTGTAATACTAAGAATAAAATTATTGTATTCCCAAATTTTCGGGAAAATGAATTGGGTCGTTTTGAATATTGATTTCTTATAATCAATAAAATAACGAAACAATTTACTCACGTATACGGCGTCGGTGTGTAATATCTAGAGAGCGGATTTCTGTCGGGCTAGGCAAGGCCAAACTCGGTACGGCTCGTACGGGATGCGAATTCATTGCGGTTGCGGACTGCACTTCGTTTATTTGAGATTAGAATAACGCTGTTTCGTTGCACTCTGCTGTTAATTCCCGTTCTCATTTACTTAGCCGTTTGATTAATAAATCGTTAATTATATTTATGGAATTAGTACCGATTAAACGTGACGTAGCCCGACAAAAATCCGCTGTCTAGTAATATGAAAGGCAACTGAAAATCGTTTATGTATAAACATTCTTAATTTAAGATGACAAGCGTAACAGCATACGTGAGAGTCAAACAGAGAAACTGTAAACAAAACGACCATCGGTTTTATTGCTTTGACTTCCGCTTATTATATAAAACATTGGGTTTTATTTTAATTCTTGACGGTGAAATTCACAATTGGTTGATTATAAACATGTCTATTTCACATTCGCGGAACCAAGTGAGCGCATAAAACAAATGCAGGTCTGTAATGTTAAAGTCGATGTAAATAAGCGTGCTACCCTTATGTTTCAACCGAGTTTTTCCTTTAACAAATTTTGTGTCTACCAAATTGGGTTGGTTGGGGTGTAATACTAATAATAAGTGTTGCCTTTAATTTAATCAATAAAATAAATTGACTTCATTAATTTTTTTGAACCACCTCTTAAGAAAATCTAAAAAATATGAATGGAATGATAAATCACAAGAAGAGACTCACCATATTTTGTACATTTTAGATAGGATTTTTTCAGCAAAATTTTGTGGTGACGTCATAAATTTTTTTAGGGGGGACGACCAAATACGTTTTGATCAAAAATTTACCATGCTTATGATAATTTTGAAATATCTTCAAGATTTCGAAGCATTCGGTTTTGTAGTTCCTGAGTAAATCAGTAAAATAAATTTACGCTTTCATTTATTTTCTTGAATCACCCTGTATATGCAAATCCAAAAAATATGAATGGAGTGATAGATCACAAGTACAGACTCATCATATTTTGTACATTTTAGATATGATTTATTCAGCAAATTTTCGAGCTGACGTCATCAAGTTTTTGGAGGGGATAAGCAAATATATTTTGACTAAACATTTATTATGCTCTTTATAACCTTAAAACATCTGCAAGATATCAGAGCATTCCGTTTTGTAGTTCCTGATTAAATCAATAAAATATATTTACGCATTCATTAATTTTTTTGAGTCACTCTGTATATGCAAATCCAAAAAATATGAATGGAGTGATAAATGACAAGTACAGGCTCATCATATTTTGTACATTTTAGATATGATTTATTCGGCAAACTTTCGAGCTGACGTCATCAAGTTTTTGGAGGGGATAAGCAAATATATTTTGACTATACGTTTATTATGCTCTTTATGACCTTAAAACATCTGCCAGATTTCAGAGCATTCGGTTTTGTAGTTCCTGATTAAATCAATAAAATATATTTACGCATTCATTAATTTTTTTGAGTCACCTGTATATGCAAATCCAAAAAATATGAATGGAGTGATAGATCACAAGTACAGACTCATCATATTTTGTACATTTTAGATATGATTTATTCCACAAACTTTTGAGCTGACGTCATCAAGTTTTTGGAGGGGATAAGCAAATATTTTTTGACTAAAGATTTATGATGCTCTTTATAGCCTTAAAACATCTGCAACATTTCAAAGCATTCTGGTTAGCAGATTAAAAATTAAATTTCAAAATGTTGTTTTATAATTTTGATTTTTTTTCCAAAAATCTGGACGTTTCGGGTGAAAAGTCGATTCAGAGTTGTAAACTACATGTGTAGGACTATGTTATTTTATACAATTGAAAACCCATTTACTATGTACAATTTTGAAGTGACGTCATCGCATTAGTGGTGGGGATGATTAGACAAATTTTGGTTAGCGTTTTACCATCTACATGATATTCTTAATATAAGTACAAAATTTCACAACAATCGGTCGAGTACTTTCAGAGATTATCTGTCTAATAAAAATCCGGGGGCAGACGGACAGACGGACAGACGGACGGACAGACAGACGGAAATGGGAGACCTATTTCTTCGTCTTCTAGGGGTCATGAAAGATCGAGAAAACGTAAAAGTAGAGAGTCGGCCGACGGACTCATTACAATACTTCCTTTGCTTACGCTCGGGAAGTAATAGGGGTAATTTACAGCATGTTACGCAATCATAATACAAAACAATCGGTTAATACAACAATCGTTACCTGGACCATGGCTGCTAACCGGAGTGTTCCTTGCCCAATTGCCGATTTACACCCTCGACACTTTGAACGTCCAGTTTTAGCATATTCTGCACAGTAAGAGAAGTCCATTTTGGTACTCTTCAACCGCAAATTCTTGCTTTAATCATAGATTAGGGAGCTGATATCATAGATTAGGGAGTTGATATCATAGATAAGGGAGTTGATATAGATAGCCCTCTCTCTGTTGCACCCACACTACCGACATCACAGAACATCCTAAATTAAGGACACTGGCTCATCGAAAAATTACGAATTGTAAAACGTGGCGCCATCTCGTTTCGACGGACGAACTAATTACACCATATCGAGGTTGGGGTGTGTTATCTGGGGATCATTGACATCGACACATTATTGATTTGATTTGTAGGTTAATGGTACCGAAATTCACTTAAATAAATAATTTAACAAGAAAAACAACATTGTGCTATAAAAATGTATTTTATTGTTAAGAAGCCTACTAACAATATAACTGAAGTGAAAACATCAGTTTGTTAATTACTAATCAATGCACAAAATCTGAAAATTCTAACAATTTTCAAAACGGTCAAATTTTACAAAGAGCTGTGGTGACCGAATTTAAATCAAAGTTTTCGCACTGAAATTAATTAACAGCGGCGCGACATCACATTTGAATAATTTGAATTTGAAAAAAAAAAATTCAATCACGAAAAGGGAATCGTTAAACATAGGCAACCAAATAGACTTGTCGGGTTTTAATGCATGATCTTTGAGTTAGATGACAGCACGTAGCGCTAGGGTGATTTCAGTTAGAGGGTTGGTAGAGAAGCTGCATGGCGTAGCGTCATTCTGAATGTGCTTGTGTGAGTATAACCACGTGGTAAGTGCTAGGTTTAAATTAGTTGGTTTGGTAGTTAATCAAAACGGGAGGAAGCCTTTGTTTAACGACAATCAAACGTATTTTTCATAATGATACAGTTGTCCCCAACCCGCGCGGTTAATTCTTGCGGCCTTTTAATCGGAGAAACGCGGACTTCCGGTCCACCGAAATACGTGCTGTAAATTTGTTTCATTGTTTGTAAATTCACCAATCAAGTTAGTTTTTCTTAATAGTCACCTAGTGCAAACACAATTTAACAATCAGGATTATTTAAATAAACCACTTCCTAGAAGATTTCATGAAATTCACTTAGTCAGGAAAAACACCTTATGTTTAATAACGAATAAGCTTCTGGATGCATATACGTAAGTGTTACATTATAACACTTCTAAATTCTTCACACAAGATTGCTAATAGTTCATTTACGGCAGTTAAATTAACCTAACGGTGCCCCACTGTAGAAAAGTGTAGTATGGCGAATTTAAATGTTGTTTATTTCTCTTTTGAAACTTTAGCACTTGTTCAGTCGTGGTTTAATATCAGTCATAGAAATTGAACACTTAAATGGATTCGAGGTTAAATAACACATAAACACTTGGTGGAAGCAGAGTGCGCGGTTCCTAGTCGAGCCGCCTGGGTACGAGAATGAAATTGACATTTTATTAATATAACTTTATTGAAAAATGTCTTGAACATCAAAACTTTCAAAAATATAGCAGTAAATATTTAGTACTTAATACAAATTTGAATTTCTCGATTTTTCGACTTTCCAATATTTTGATTTCTCGATTTTTCGTTATTTCAAATATGTATTTTAACTTCCAGTTTTTTCAACTTCGCGATATCTCGATTTTTGATATATCGAATTTTCGATTTTTGCTTTTTTCGATTTTTCAACTGAAGTTTTTTAATTTCTCGATTTTTTGTGTGTCGTATTTTAAATTTTACAATTTCTCGATTCTCCAAATATTCCATTTCTCGATTTTACGACTTTTCAATTTTTGATTTCGCTTTTTCGACTTTCCGATTTTTCAATTTCTCGTTTTTTCGATTTTTTGACTTTCCAGCTTTTCGATTTTCCAATTATTCAAATCTCGGTTTTCTTGCTTTTCGAATTTTCGATTCGGATTTCAGATTTTTCCAGTTCTCGATTTTATCATTTTTTGATTTTTCGTTTCAATTTTTGGTGTTTTCAATTTCTCTATTTTTCGACTTTTTAATATTTCTTTTTTTCAGTTCTCGATTCTTTTATTTTTCCATTTCTTGATTAAGGACTTTCTTGATTTTCCAATTTTTTTGGGTCGACTTTTCGTTATTTCAATTTTTTGGCTTTCCGATTTTTCAATAACTCGATTTTTGGAATTTTGGATTCTTCGACCTTTCGATTTTGCAATTTTCAAATATTTTAATTTCTCGTTTTGTCGACTTTTCGATATCTCGATTTTTCGACTTAAATTTTTCAATTTCTCGATTTTTGGTGTTTTCTATTTTCGATTTTACAATTTTCAAATATTTGAATTTCCCGATTTTTCAACTTTTATATAATATTTCGAATTTTGAATTGATCGACTTTTCGATATCTGGGCTTTTCAATTTCTCGATTCTCCAATTTTTTTCGATTCGGTTTAACGACTTTTCGAATTTTGATATCTTGATTTTTCGACTTTCCAATTTTTCAATACATCAATTTTTGGAATTTTGAATTCTTCGACCTTTTGATTTTTGGTGTTTTCGATTTTGGAATTTTCAGATATTTTAATTTCTTGATTTTTCGACTTCTCTATATCGCGATTTTCGATATATTTCGACTTTCCGATTTTTCAACTTTTCCATATCTCGATTTTCTGGGTTTTTAAATTTTCAATTTCTCGATTTTTCAATCCGAAGTTCCCGTTTGGATTTTTGACCTTTCAATTTGTGGCATTTTCGATTTTTTTGACTTTCAAATATTTCAATCTCACTATTTTTCGACTTCGATCTTTAAGAACCTTAACAAAACATTGCGTCTATTTTTGGAAAAAAAAAACTGCAAAAATAATATTCCTGAAGAATCAACTTTAAGAAAGATTGGGGACACTCCATTTTTTGCTATTTTATTTATTTAGTTACTTTACTGTGGTGACCAAATTTGAATTAAAATTTCGCGCTGAAAAAAAAACAATAAAAAAATCGTTAAACATGGCAACCATGTGCACGTTAGCGCTTTTGGGTAGTGTGTAGTTCTGCTTGAAATTTTAGGTAATCGTAACGACGCCGCCGCCACAGTTTTCACACGCGCAGAATTTTTGACCGACGCTAACACGTGTAAATTTGATTCATTGTTTGGAAATTCACAGTTCATGTTAGGAGTTTAATCGTTAACTAGTTCTAACACGATTAACAATCAGGAATTTGCTTAGATAAATACTGCTAGGAGATTTCATAAAACTCGCTTAGAATAACGTTTCTGGATGCCAATACTCAAGTGTTACATTATAACACTTCTTAATTCTTCACACAAGATTGCTAATAGTTCATTTACGGCAGTTAAATTAACCCAACGTTGCCCCACTGTGAAAAAAGACCGTAGAAAAGTGCAATATGGCGAATTTAAATGTTGTTTATTGCTCTTTTGAAACTTTAGCACTTGTTCAGTCATAGTTAAATATCAGTCATAGAAATTGAACATTTAAATGGAACCGAGGTTAAATAACACAGAAACACGTGGTGGAAGCGGGGTGCGCGGTTCCTAGTCGAGCTGGCGGAATTTATCGTCCCACCGTCCTGAGTACGAGAATGAAATCGACATTTTATTAATATAACTTTATTGAAAAATGGCTTAAACATCAAAACTTTCAAAAATATAGCAGTAAATATTTAGTACTTGTATTTAAAATCAACTTTTAGCAAATACTTGACGTTGACCTGTGCCACATCGTATACAATGTATTCATTATACAGCAAAGCTGAACCCTTGTTATTGTCGGTCACTCCTTTACCCAGAGGCACTTCAACCCCGTTGAGATTTTTCGCCGCACTCGGATCTGGTTCAGTCCGCCCCAAACCTTTAGTACTGTGCTTACCTTTGGGTAACTTCTCTACATACTCAGCTTGGGTTCTTTCATACATCTGTGAAACCAAAGTCACAATACAACGTCACAGCCACGCCCACTATACTTACATTTCCTAAGGCCACATCGCACAGCAGTAACAAACCAGTGGGATTGGTGGGTCCAGTGCAGCAATAATTCGCCGACTTCGACACCATATCCGCAAAATAAATACCCTTCCCGAACATGTAACCCGTGACGGGTGCCTCCGGGGGCGCAATGCGCAGCCCCTGGGCCAAAATCCCCGCAAAGTTGGTAGTTCGAGAGCCGTGCCACAACAACTTGTGGTTGTGGAGCTTCTTGAACGGTTTGAACCGTTTCTCTTCGCCTTGACGTTTGACCGTGAAGACGTCTTTAATGTCGAGGGTGTAGCTACTATGGGTTTCGGCGTGGGTGTTCTTGACGTAGTCTTGAATGAGACTGAACTCCTCGGCCTCTTTATCCAACACCTCGATTTCGGTATTGAGCTGCTTGTAGTAGCCGTCGACGTTTTTCTCCGAACCGCTGGACTTCATCAAGTTGTAGGCGATTTCGAGCTCCAATAAGCTGTCCAGCATGTCGATTTTTTGCTACCAATAAACGCGTCACTAGAGAGACAAGTTGTAACTTTACACTCACCTTAATGACTTCTGTGTCACGTAATACAGGAGGATCATCAATCCCGAACGAGTGCGGTATAAAAGTATAGAACCTATTTGTGGCATCAATGATTCTATTTTCAGCCCCATTGTTATCAACAAGTTGCTGCAGCTCAGTCAAAACGCTATAAGCATTCTGGATTTGCTTCTTGCTCAACTTCCCTAACGGCATTTTCTCCGTATCGAGTTCAAACTCCAACATAACCTTCTGCATAGCGTTCACATCGAAAATCAACCTCATCAAATCTTGCACAGGAACTGGTAACAAAGATGTCGAGTCGGTCATGTCCAACGACTTCACCTGCTCGTCGTCGCCGTAGTCCACGTCGACGGGGTAAAACAGGCCCGGGACTTTCTGGAAGTTGTGGTGGTCTTCCCACATGTTCCCGGTTTTCTCTTCATACAGCTGACAGAACGCGGTTTTCGCGTCATGCAGCGAGTGGAAGTTCTCTAGTTTGTTGCCGCCGATGGTGGTGCCGATGCGCCCCCACGACCTGAACACCCAGAATTTTTGCGCCCGGTCGGATTTCAGGAGTTGTAGTTTGTAGTAGCTGTTCTTTTTGGATTGGATGTCGGTTTTGCTCAGCACGACTGTGTATTTGTCGGAGTTGTGGGTGTAGACGTGGGCTTCGTGTTCGAGGCCGGAGTCTGGATCGACGGCGGTTCCCCCTTTGAGGGTTAGTTTTACCTTGCTGGGCATGGAGCTGGTGTAGATGCTGCCGGATTTCGATTTGCCGGATTTGCTGGTGGAAGGTTCGGGGGGCAGGCGGGTTTTTGGCTGCAAAAATATACACCGGGTGTCTCAAAATTTTTTTGTCGTAGATAAATTTAGTGACAAATAGTTTCAAATGGAACTGAGGAGAAAAAATGAAACGTCGCGAGCTGATTTGGAAAAAATTGTGTTTATGGTGGCGGATCAAGATTTTCGAAATATTCGATTTGGAAGTCAAATTTTATTCATTTGCATTGCACGATTCTGGCAAAAAACTAGGAATTTTCAAAGAAATGAAGTCGATTATAACTTCATGAGGTCGAAATCTACAAAAAAATCTCATTTGGTAATAATTTTCGAAAATGCTCAAAAAGGGAAAAATTTCATTGAAACGTTGAGTTTTTGGAAAAAATTGACTAAAAACTCATTAAAAAAAATAAATAAAACGGAAATAGATTTTCACAAGGTGAATCGAAAAATATTGGATGTCATGATCCTGAACCAAGTTTTTTGAAATATTTGGTTCAAAAGTCAAATTTTAGAAAAATTCTCAAAATTGCAATATTTCACTTTCTTCACGATTTTGAGAAAAAAAAAACCTACCAATTTTGAAAGAAATGAAGTCGATAATAACTTCATAAGCTCGAAATCTACAAAAAAATCTCGTTTGGGTAATTTTCGAAAATACTCAAAAAGTCAAAAATTTCATTGAAAAGTTGAACTTTTGGAAAAATTCCTTAAAAATTCACTAAAAAATCACGAATATAGATTTGATGAGCTGAATCGAAAAATTTAAGGTGTTGATGATTTTGGACCAAAAATTTTTGGAAACTAAAAAAATTGCCGTATTTCATTTTCACGATTCTGGGAAAAAATTAGGAATTTTCAAAGAAATGAAGCCGATAATAATTTCACGAGGTCGAAATCTACAAAAACTGTTTGATAATTTTCGAAAATGCCAAAAATAAAAGAGAAAAATTTCATTGGAATTGAGCTTTTGGAAAAAATTGTCTAAAAACTCACAAAAAAAAAAAACAGATTAAATTGAGGAAGTGAATCGAAAAATATTGGATGTTATGATCCTGAACCAAGATTTTTGAAATATTTGGTTTAAAAGTCAAATTTTTGGAAAAATGCTCAAAATTGCCATATTTCATTTCGACGAATTTGAGAAAATACTAGGAATTTTCGAAAAAATGGAACCGGTAATAATTTCATGAAGTCGAAATCTACAAAAAAATGTTAGGTAATTTTTGAAGATGCTCAAAAAAAGTAAAAATTTCATTGAAAAGTGGAGCTTTTGGAAAAATTAACTAGAAATTAAAAAAAAAAAATCACGGATATAGATCTTTACGAGGTGAAATCGAAAAATATAGGGTGTCGATGATCCCGGACCACGATTTTTGAAAATTCAGTGTGAAAGTCAACTTTTGAGGCACAATTCTAAAAATATCCATATTTCATTTTCTTCACGATTTTGGAAAAAAAAAACTAGCAATTTTCAGAGAAATGAAGTCGATAATAACTTCATGAGCTCAAAAAAAAACCTCAAAAATTTCAATGAAAAGTTGAGCTTTTAGAAAAATTGTCTAAAAATTCACAAAAAATAATCACGGATATAGACCTTGATGAGCTGAATCGAAAAATATAAGGTGTTGATGATCCTGGAACACGATTTATGAAATACTCGGTTTGAAAGTCAAATTTTTGGGAAAATTCTAAAATTTGCCATATTATTTTTGGGAAAGGCTAAGAATTTTTGACAAAACGTTGCCAAAAATAACCCCATGAAGTCGAAATTTACGAAAAATCTCGTTGGGTTATTTCGAAAATGTTCGAAAAAAGTTAAAAATTTCATTGAAAAGTTGAGCTTTTGGAAAAAATTGAGTAAAAATTCACAAAAAAATCGCTAGCTATATCGAAAAATATAGGGTGTTGATGATCCTGGACCAAGATTTTTTAAATATTCGGTTTGAAAGTCAAAGTTTTGGAAAAATCCTAAAAATTGCCAGGTTTCATTTTGACGAATCTGAGAAAAAAACTAGGAATTTTCAAAGAAATGAAGACAATAATTTCATGAGGTCAAAATCTACAATTAAAGCTATTAACTTTATATAAAAAGGTAAAATAATAACATAAGGAAAAGGAAACATAATTCACCCCAACAATCTACCCATAAAAACAACAAGTAAAATTAAACCTCTTATTCCCTTAAGTATATGCTGGGTCAAAGAAGGATGTATTAATATTTCGGTCAGTAAGAAGTATCGTAATGGCACCTGCTAGTAAGAAATATACAAAAATAAGCTTCTAACTTAATAAAAAGCATTAACATAAAATATCGTTCGGTAATTTTCGAAGATGCTCAAAAAAGTAAAAAAATTTCACTGAAAAGTTGAGCTAAATGAATTAGAGAATTACTTAGGAAGGTCGAAATCTACAAAAAAATGTTCGGTAATTTAATTGAAAAATTGAGCTTTAGAAAAAATTGTCTAAAAGTCCAGAAAAAAAATCTGGATATAGATGTTGACGTATTGAATCGAAAAACATAGCAGTTGATGATTTCGGACTAAGATTTTTCAAATATTCGGCTTGCAAATGAAATATTTTGAAAATCCTAAAAATTGCCATCTTATTTTGGGGAAAGGCTAAGAATATTCGAAAAATTGTAGCCAAAAATAACTTCATGAAGTCGAAATTTATGAAAAATCTCGATTTTTTCGAAATGTTCGAAAAACGTAAAAAACTTCATTGAAAATTTGGGCTTTGGAAAGTTGTCTAAAAATTCACAAAAAAATCACAAATATAAATTTTGAGGAGCTGAATCGAAAAATAGTGTTGATGATCTCAGAGCAAGATTTTTTAAATATTCGGTTTGAAACTCAAATTTTTGGAAAAATTTTAAAAATTGCCATATATCATTTTGACGAATCTGAGAAAAAACTAGGAATTTTCAAAGAAATGAAGCCGATAATAATTTTAAGAGGTCGAAATCTACAAATAAATCATGTTCAGTGATTTTCGAAGATCCTCAACAAAGTCCAAAATTTCAATGAAAGAAAAGCTGAGCTTTTGAAAGTTGCCTAAAAATTTTGATGAGCTGATGTGAAAAAGTAAAAATGTGTGTTTATTGTCGTGGATTAAGAGTTTCGAAATTTTTGATTGAAAGTCAAATTTCTTGAAAATTGTAAAAATTGACTAATTTTATTTTGGAGATTCTGGTAAGAATGGGAATTTTCGGAGAAATGAATCCGAAAATTACGTCGGAAGGTCGAAATCTCAAAAAAATCTCGTTAAGTAGTTTGTGAAGATGCCCGAAAAGTCAAAAATTTCATTGAAAAATTGAGCTCTTGGAAAAGTTGCCCAAAAATCCACAAAAAAAAACCTGGATATAGATCTTGACGAACTGAATCAAAAAACATGGCGTGTTGATGATATCGGATAAGATTTTTGAAATTTTCGGTTTGAAAGTAAAATGTTTTACAAATTATAAAAACTGACACATTATTTCAGAAATTTTGAGAAAGATAAGAAATTTCCAAAGAAATGAAGTCGGAATCTACAAAAGAATTTCGTTGGGTAAAAATCTAAAATTTCATTTGAACTTTTGCAAAAGTTTCTAAAAATCACAGAAAATCTCAATATGATGTGAAAAAATAAAATTGCGTGTTTATGGTCACAGATTAAGATGTTGGAAATATTTGGTTGAAAGTTAAAATTTTTTGAAAATTTAAAAAATTGACACATTTTATTTTGGAAATTCTGGAGGTGTAAGAATTTTCGAAGAAATGAAGATGAAAATAACTTCATGAAGTCAAAATTTACGAAAAAAAAAAATATCGTTTGGTAATTTTCGAAGATGCTCAACAAAATTAAAAAATTTCTATGAAAAGTTGAGCTTTTGAAAAAAAAAGCCAAAAAATTCACAAAAAAATCACGAATATGAGCTGAATTGAAAAATAGAGGGTTTTGATGATGACCAAAATTTTTGAAATATTCGGTTTGAATGTCAATTTTTTGGAAAAATTCTAAAAATTGCCAATTTCATTTTCACGAATGTGAAAAAAAACTAGTAATTTTCAAAAAAATGGAGCCAAAAAAAATTACAAAAAAATCTTGTTAGGTATTTTTCGAACATGCTAATAAAAAACTCAAAAATTTCAAAAAGTTGAGCTTTTGGAAAAATTGCCTAAAAATTCACAAAAAAAAAATCACGGATATAGATCTTGACAAGCTGAATCGAAAAATATAGGGCGTTGATTATCTCGGATCAAGATTTTGGAAATATTCGATTTGAAAGTCAAATTTTTGGAAAAATTCTAAACATTGCCATTTTTCATTTGGACGAATCTGAGAAAAAACCACGGGTTTTCAAAAAAATGAAGCCGATAATAATTTCATGAGGGCGAAATCTACAAAAAATATCGTGAGGTAATTTTCAAAGATGCTCAAAAAAAGTAAAAATTTTCATTGAAAAGTTGAGCTTTTGGAAAAAATGGTCTAAAAATGCACAAAAAAAAAACACGGATATAGATCTCGACGAACTGAATTGAAAAATATAGTGTCGATGATCCTGGACCAAGATTTTTGAAAAATTCGGTTTGAAAGTCAAATTTTTGGAAAAATTCTAAAAATTGCCATATTTCATTTTGACGAATCTGAGAAAAAACTAGGAATTTTCAAAGAAATGAAGGCGATAATAATTTTATGAGGTTGAAATCTACAAAAAAATCTTGTTGGTTCATTTTCGAAAATAGCCACAAAAAGTCAAAAATTTCATTGAAAAGTTGAGCTTTTGGAAAAATTGCCTAAAAAAAAAAATAACAAAAAATTGCGGATATAGATATTGACAAGTTAAATCGAAAAATATAGGGTATTGATGATTTTGGACCAAGATTTTTGAAATATTCGGTTTGAAAATCAAATTTTTGAAAACTTGAAAAAAACTGCCGTATTTCATTTTCACGATTCCAAAAAAAACTAGGAATTTTCAAAGAAATGAAGCCGATAATAATTTCATGAGGTCGAAATCTAAAAAAAAAATCTCGCTCGGTAATTTAACAAAA